TTTTTTTGCTTATATCTTCTGCAAGTAGGGTTGTTAATCATTTTTGTAAACGATCGTTTAATTAAATCGATTTGAGACCGTATTTTATATGATTGTTTTTAAAAAACGATTGTTTTTGAAAAAAAAATTCATTGACAATTATGTTATCGATCGTTAATGAAGGATCAGCGCTAACAATCGTTAATGAAGGGTAGTAGTTAAAGATCGTTAACGATCGTTAACGAAGGGTTTTCTTTAACGATCGTAAACGAAACGACGAACTTTATAAAAACGCTCGTTTTTGGAAAAAAAATTACATGCAACTTTATTGAATGTCGTCTTACATGAAGTTTAACAGTTGTGGGGAAGTTTAAACTTCTTGATATTTTCTTAAAACTACTCTGCAATGATAAGTACAGATGCCCTTCAGGTAGGTTTCCTCTCTTCTTTAACGATTGTTAACGAAGGGGTCGTCGTAAACTATCGCTAACGAAGGGTTGTCGTTAACGATCGTTAGTGAAGGGTCGTCGATAACGATCGTTAATGAAAGGACAAATTTTTATAATTTTATTTTCGATTTTTCGTCGTCGTTTTCATAACGAAACGATCGATTTTCAAAAAAATGAAAACGTTAACATCCCTATCTGCAAGTGTCTAAACTTTACAAATTGTAAGGGAAGAAAAACAACCTGGAAAACACGTTTAAATTTTGATTTTAAAATAATTATTGTTCAGATGTTCCGAGAGAGGAATCTACCCGAATGTATGCATGGACACAACAGGAGTTGCTCAAGAAGTTGAGAAGATTCTTCAGAACAACAAGTCTCCAGGACATGATCTCTATCCTGAGTGTGGATCATGAGTTGTCTGAGGAGGACAAGCTGAAGGTCACCAGGGCCGGAGATCGAGAGATTCCTTTCATACCTTTCCAGGTAGGCTGACATTTTTCAATTAAAATATGGCAGATTTATATCTAGAAATATTAAAAATAGCGAATGTTATTTTCTTTTAATTAAAATGGTGGACTAATTTCTTGGAAAACTTCATACTGCAAAGATTTTCTTAAATTGCCAAATTTCTTGGAAAATTTCTTAGTTTTAAACATTTTAAATGGTGGAATGCATTTGCTTCTTTTTGTTAATTTCAAAATAAACTTGGCTTGAAATATTTTTTTATTTATTTAAAGGGAATGTAGGCATAATTTCAAGAGACTCTTTTAATTAAATCCTCTTTGAAAATTGATTACTTTCAATTGTGGTTTCTCTCTTATAGTGACTTGCAGATTTTAATACTGGGAAATTGTGTGAATTCAACTTTTAACTTGAAAATAACAATCTTCCACATTATTGATCAGATAAAGGGTCACTTGAATTTACTTGTACAGTCCCTTTAAAAGTCTTTTTTGATGAATATTTCAGTTATAGATGGAGATGGGGTTGTTCAACTTGTAATTTTGTTCATTCATCATTCATGAACAAGCCATTTTGTTAATCTTTTAAATCAATCCATAAAAATTAAATCAATTTGTTTTCACAATTTATTGTGTTAGTTGTTAAACTGAACGTCGCGCTTTCATTAAAATTGCTTGTTCAGTAAAATACTTTGTTCAATAAAATTGTTCGTTATTTAATAAAACTATTTTTTCAAAATTTTTTCGAAAAAGTTGTGGTTCAGTTCTTCTTTCCTCTTCTAAATATTTTTCTTTCTTTTCTTTCATCCATCTTTTCTTTCCTTCTCTTTTCTTTTCTATTTTTTCATCGATTTTTAATTTCAGATAGAACTGGGAAATTTGGAGTCAGAATACAGAATGAAGTTCAGACAACATTGCTGTCAATGAATAATACTGTTGTTCAGTGTTCACACTGATCTAGAGGTCTCACGCTCTCAAGCAAAATTCTATGAGAATTTTGCTTATTCTTCTTAAGTACCAAAATTAACAACTATTGAAGAGACTTTTTATAAGCAGGCTGAATCGATGAATGTGTGCAGTGATTAGAAAAGAAATCTTCAAAAGATATTAAATCTCAATAGACTCATAGAAGCAAGATTCTGTAACAATGGAAACCAAGTGAAAAGTAATTTATATCGAGTTTTAATTTGTGTTTGAATTACGTTTGTTTATAATCAATTTTAGTTATTTTAATATAAAATATTTCAAAGCAACAACATTTTTTTTAACTGAAGGTTTGTTTATAGTTGCAATTGATTGATGGGTATATGGTTTGTACTTTTATTAATTGGTTGAAAGAAAGTTGTGTCTAAAGGAAATTGTTTTAGGTCAAAAGAAAGCTGTAGTAGGTAGAGAGGAAGTTGTAGTAGGTTGACAGTAGGTCGTGGAAGGTCGTAGCAGGTCGGTCATAGACGTAAGACGACGCCAGTTAGAGCTTTGTTTGGTCGTAGAGAGGTCGCTGTGGAGGTAGTCGGAGGTTGTAGTAGGTTGACAGTTGGTCGTGGAAGGTCGTAGCAGGTCGGTTATAGACGGGGGACGACGCCAGTATAGGTTTGGTTGGTAAAAAAGAGGTCGCTGAGACGTCAAGGTGACGTCGCTACAAGGTCGAAAACTGTTCGTTTTGTGTCAAGGCGACGTCTAAACGACTTTAAATCGACTTCAGATCGACGTTGCCCCGACGTCGGCCCGACCAAAGACGACGTCGCCCTGACGTCAAGTCGACGTCGGTTGGTTATGTGGGTAGTATTACTTGGACTCCGGAGTGTTCCCAGAGAAGATTCATCCGTTTCCGCTTCTGAAGCCCTCTTTGGTTCTCCGTTGGTTTTACCCGGAGAATTCCTAGACACTCCAGAGCTTCCCTCATCGGAGTATCTCAGGAAAATCCAGTCTATCCTGAAGAACAGTACATCAGTCCTACCTCATCACTCTGCAGTTCCAACCACAAAACCAGACCAGATCCCTTCAAGTTTAGCTAATTGTTCTCATGTTTTTATCAGAGAGGATGCATCAAAACCTCCGTTATCTCCGTTATATAGAGGGCCATATCTAGTCCTCTCCAAGTATCCAAAGTATTTTCTCGTTGAAATTGGTTCCAAGTCTGACTCTGTCTCCGTGGATCGGCTTAAACCTGTACTCTCTGATCATCCAGTTACTCCTCAGCAGCCTCCCCGACGTGGAAGACCTCCGTTGTCTCCGGCTCCGTTAGCTCCGGCTCCGTCAGCTCCGGCTCCGTTGGCTCCTGCCTCTCCAGTACCTCTCTGGAAAGCCCCTGGAATGAAGAAGAAGGTTCAGTTCTCACCTCAAAAGTTTTCTCCTCTCCCAGCTCGTAGGAACCCACGAAGAAGAGTCCGGGATAACCATCAAGTGTTTCATCTTCTTCAACACCTCGATGCTGGGGGGACCCCTGTGGAGACCCTGGATTACCAGCTGATTGCCGGAAACTCTGAAGACCAAACCAAACATATTTATTCAGTTTAATATCTCATGTTGTAAGTTAGAACAAAATATACAGTTAGTCCCGTTTATATCTTTGTTATTTTGCGTCGCTACAAAACCTCCAATAAAATGCAGGTATAGTAAAATAAATGATGTTTAATTAGATAACTTACTATTTTGATGTGTCAGGAGGAGTGATTAGGGTTTAGAGGATTTTATCGAGTTTAAAACATTTGGAAATATTTCTGAAAATATAAACCAGTGTCCGAATTTAATGAATTTGAGCCCTGTCTTTAATCCGTCAAAAACCGGTTTTAATTTAGCACCGGTTTAAATCTTGAAACAGTGGATGCAATTTTAAGTGGAACCGACCATTTTAGCCGCGTCTCAATATTAAGCCGCAGCTTAAATTCTTTAAATTCGGCCTCTGGTTGTTTTAAGTGTTATTACTGTGGATTGGAAAAATATTTGTAGATTTGATTATTCACTTGGTTAAAACGTTTTACTGTTTGGTGTTTACTCTTTCTCCGAATACAGAAATTGCAGGAGTATTGCTTTGGTTTGGATTTGGGGCTGGTAAAGAAGACATAACTGGGGGGGGGGGGGGGGGGGTTTAGAAGATAGATTTATGGTCAAAAGTAGGGGGTGCTAAGGTTCAAGGATGAAAGGATTGGATATCAGAATAAAAGGTGAACATAAATCATGGAATTTAGGGTAAAGTGGAATATGTTATTGATAGATTGAAATGTGATTGTTCAATTGACAGTAATGAGAAGGAGAGGATAGGGGTATATATTAGGGTACATGAATAAATTAAAATTACTATTTAAAAATAAAATAAAATAATTGCATTACATTAGTTTGTCATGAATAAGTTGTCATTTAATCGGATGTAAAGTGAAGATCTAATTTGAACTGATTTGAGACTTGAGGTTGGATAAATAAATAATATTGATAAGAATAAAAAAATGAAATTATTCTATTGTTGGATAAATAAATTAAATTAATAAATAAGTAATTGAAATTGTTGTGTTGTTGGATAAATAAATAAAGGTAATAAGAATAAAATTGAAATTGTTGTATTGTTTGATAAATAAATAAAGGTAATAAGACTAAAATTGAAATTGTTGTATTGTTTGATAAATAAATAAAGGTAATAAGAATAAAATTGAAATTGTTTATTGTTGGATAAATAAATAAAGGTAATAGGAATAAAATTGAAATTGTTGTATTGTTGGATAAATAAATAAAGGTAATAAGAATAAAATTGAAATTGTTGTGTTATTGGATAAATAAAAAAAGGAAAAAAGAATAAAATTGAAATTGTTGTATTGTTGGATAAAAAAATAAAGGTAATAATAATAAAATTGAAATTGTTGTGCTAATAAAGGTAAAAAGAATAAAATTGAAATTGTTGTATTGTTGAATAAATAAATAAAATTAATAAGAATAAAATTTAAATTGTTTTATTGGTGGATAAATAAACAAAGGTAATAAGAATAAAATTGAAATTGTTGTATTGTTGAATAAATAAATAAATTAATAAGAATAAAATTTAAATTGTTTTATTGGTGGATAAATAAACAAAATTAAGATAAAAATATAATTGATATATTGAGTAACATGGAAAAGTTGACTGATGGTGTATGGTAATTAATCTGCAAATATAGAATAAAGCTCATGGTTTTTACATGATTTTGGATCAATCCAGTGGCTGAATTTAAAGAATTTGAGCGGCGGTTTAAATTTAAGCCCCGGTTTAAATATGGTTGGTTCCACTTAAAATTGTATCAAATGTTTCAAGATTTAAGCAAGCGCTTAATTCAAACTGGGTTTTTGTGGATTTAAGCGCGGTTCAAATTCTTTAAATTCCATGTCGGGTGAAGTCTTGAGAACAAATTCCGGTGGGTTCTCAGGTTAACATTTTCTTTCCCTCTTTTATTTATTTTCGAATGAAGTAAATAAATACAAATTATTAATTAAAAAATAAAGGATAAAATTTGTAAAAAGTTGAGATAAGTTTGAGAACTAAGGTGCTAGAAATTGTATTTTAGATTAAAACTTTTTGAATGAATGTTTTGTAATAAATTATAAGGAATTTGAAGAAATGTTATTTTCCTGGGAAAACTAAGAAATGTAAAATATTTAAGAGTGGAAACCCTGTAACCGGAATTTAATGAGCTCTATTGCTGCTTGTTGTCCGAGGAATTTGTCTTGAGCTGCTCTTAGCTGAGTTCCTGCTTCCAGAGCTAAGGTCTTTGCTGCTCTATCTTCTGAGGCTGTGGTTTCTCAAATTCAATGAAGGGGTACAGCTGGTTAAGGTGCATGTTTGTGGTGATGCTCCATTCTCCTATTTCTCTCCAGTAGTTGATTGTAGCCTCAAATATGTCTCTGTTCTTTCTACAGAGAAGGTCTTGAACTCTGGCAGCTGAGATTTCATGTTTGTATATGGGTTCATTTTTAAGGAGGACAATGTTGCTCACCTGTGGAACCTATCCCTGTTCTTTCCAGGCGACAGTGGGTCTCCTCCTTGTATATTCCTGTTTCCAGAGAGAGTTGAAGGGGTTGAGGACAATTTTCCACCTCGAGATTTGATGTTGAACTGGTTCGGTAGGAGGATCTGGGTCAGTTGAAGGATCAGACTTGGTTGAAGGGTCTGGTTTGGTTGAAGGATTGGGTTCAGATGATGCATCTGGTTTGTTTGGAGGATCTGGTTTGGTTGAAGGATCGGGTTCAGTTAAAGGATCTAGTTCAGTTGAAAGATATGTTTTGGTAGAAAGATCAGTAGAGGGATCTGGTTTGGTTGAAGGATCTGGATTAGAAGGAGGATCTGGTTTAGTAAGAGGGTCTGGTTTGGTTGAAAGACCTGAACAGTTGCAGAATCTGGTTCAGTTGAAGAATCAGACTTGGTTGAAGGATCGGGTTTAGTTAAAGGATCTGGTTTGGTTGAAGGATCTGGCTTGGTTGAAAGATCTGGCTCAATAGAAAGGTCTGGTTTGGTTGGAGGATCAGGTTCAGTTGAAGGATCTGGCATGGTTGAAGGATCTGGTTTAGTAGAAGGATCTGGTCTGGAGGAAGGATCTTGATCAGTTGCAGAATCTGGTTCTGATAAAGGATCAGACTTGGTTGTAGGGTATGGTTTGGTAGGAGGATCTGGCACTGTAGAAGGATTTGGTTTGGTTGGAGGATTTGGTTTAGTAAAAGAATCTGGTTTGGTTGATGGATTTGGATCAATTTCAGAATCAGGTTCTATTGAAGGATCAGACTTGGTTGAAGGGGCTGGTTTTCTTGGAAATTTTGTTGTAAATTCCAGAAGGTTGTAGTATAGAATCCCCTGAAAAGGACTGGAATATTTGAGCTGCAGAAGGAGTTGAGGATGTCCATGGCAGTTGGAGCAGTCATAAAGGAAAATGTTAAAATTGGAAATCATGTTTAGGATGAATAGCTGGTCGAATTTTTCAGTATATTGATTGGTACGTGGGGAGGGGGGGTTAGATAATAGATTTTATGGTCAACAATGGTGTTTTTTCTTTCAAAATTAAAAGTTAGAAAAGCAAAAATGTGTATCTATATTATTTCTATCAAATTTTAAAATTTTATAAATGTTGAATCAAAGAATTACAGAAAATTTGCAATTTTTAGTTCTGGTTAATTTCTATAGAAAAGTTTTTTTTAATCCCTCTTTAGTTTTAGTTTTAAATATACTAAGAAGCAATTGAATTTCAAAAATCTTATCTTTTTAAAAATTGGATTTTTTTGTTTTCTTATCAAAAATAATTAAATTCACCATTGCACATTTAAATATTCAACAACATTGATTTCTATTTTCAACTTTTAATTTGAAATCAAACTTTTACTGTTATCCTTAAGTGCTAATTTTAAATGCATGATTTAATCGAAACATATAATTTGCTTCAACAAAGTTTTGATTATACATTATAAAATCAATCTTTTATTCTCAAGATGAGCCAAGAATTCATAATAAATTCTTTTATAGATATTAATTAAAAATTTAGTCCAAAACTATTGAAATAAAAAATTTAGTTCTATTAGGTCACAATTACCATATAAGGCCCCGATAAAACATTTTTAAAAATTAATTTTGTCAATATTTTAAAAGTTGTTTTTCCGTCATTTTTTTCTAATTTTAAACCTGTGATAAGAGCTCAATAACAATAGTATGATCATTTTAGAATGCGCAAATTCAAGTTTTTCTTTGAAGGTTTTCTATTTAGCACAGATCACTGGCTTTGCTCTTTTTATGGTGTATTGTATTTTCCCATAGGCATTATCTTAAGTGACAATTTTCCAATTGAGCAATTTCTTAAGAGACAACTTCCCAAAGGTCTTCTGAGGCGCCGCAGGCTGTAATGGGGCCAATTGGTGAGGTTAGGATTGGCTAGGGGCTGAGCACTTTGGCTTGGAGAAACATGGAAAGTTGCCACTTGGGAAATTGTGTATTTTGGAAAATAAGCTTGGAATGTTGCCACTAGGGAAAATGCCTTTGGGAAAAACCTTACATCTTTTTTATCATGGAAATACTCTTTTTAGTGGGTTAGTAATATACTCCTGAATAAGCGGAGTAGTGAAGTCTTTGTTGAGTGAATATTTAATAGTATCCAAATCTTTGCTGAGCTGCTTGAGAAAACACCTGAAATGGCCAAATAAAACTTGAATGAACTTCTTTTGGGCATCTTTGACATCAATATTTCTAGATTTTTTAAGTACTAAACAAAGTTACACACAAAGGATGAGAATTTAAAGACGACTGCATGGAATTTCAAGTTGTCTTTACTTTATCATCCTTTGTGGGTAACCCCACGTAGGTTTATTACAAAACATGCATGTTTTGGGCACTATTTAATCACGTCAGATTATAAACAATAAATCAATATGTAAATTTATCACATTGATATTTTTGTAACATCAATTTAAAATCAAACATGAAGAGAACACATTTATTATACTGAATAAATTAATTTTGATAATAAATTAATTTAGGATATTAACAATTGAGAACCCCAGAAAGCAAATGCGTGTTTGCTGTAGGTTCACCCACAGCATTCTTCAAATAGCATCCTTTAATCCCATTATCCCAATCAAAGCTAGTACATCCCCTAGTAGAGGCACATGTACACCCGCATTCCTCACTAGAATCCACTGTGGGCACTACAAAATAGTTTATAATATCAATTGAATCCTCACTTCCTTTAATGGTATTATTTTTTGCATTGAAATTATTTGAATCTCATGCAATAGTATTCAACAACTTATTTGAATTTTAAATGTCTCATATGAGCACTTTGTGAAAAATTATGAAAAGTTTGAATCCATGGTGTACTTAAAAAACTTAGAATACCTGCGAATGTATTTCCTAATGTCAGTGAATTCAAGTTTAAGCTTTAGGTTATTTTAAAGGGGAAAAAATTCTTTTAGTATGGGTTAAATAAATAATAAAATGAAATAAAAAATAAAAATAAAAATAAAATTTTTTACTACTTTTGATGACTTAAGAGAACTAATATAAAAATGTTGAATGCTAGATTACAAAAAAATGTTCCACTCCTGGTCGTGTAGTTCTATCTTCAAAACAGTGATGGGGGATACAACCTGTTAAAATAAAAGCTCAAAAAAATTTGAGTATTAAGATAGAATTGATGTATGCACTGTAAAGACCCCCAAACTTGAATGATTTACCTGCAGGTCTTACAATCTTCCAAGTCTTAGAAGAACTGTAACTTCCCACATTTCTTTTACCAATGGTTTGTCCTGTAGTGCACTGTCCATCCTTAAGATGATAGAATTAAGATAAGGAGTGTTCTGTATAGTTTTCTATTTTTACTTAGTTTTAAGAGAGACTGATGTACTAGACAAAACTATCCAGCCATATAAAATAGTTTACAGTATACTTATGATGACTAAAACTAATATTTTCCTGGTAACAGCTTACAGTTTCTTCCAAATCCATAATGAATGAAAAAAAGTACTTACATACAATTCCAAAAAATCTCAGTGCTTAGATCTTATTCATGAAGAAATTAGAAAATTATGTTGGTAAAATCAACATCTAGTATGGACATACTCGGAAATACGTCATTACCCGGAACATACTACAAGACATTATAAGACATTATAGTTGCACTATAATAAAGAGAGCTATATACAGAGAGAATAATATATTCATCTTCGCATCTTTTGATATACACTCAAAACTGATGGAATTCAATTAAACTTAGCAAAACTTATCTTAGCAATAGGAAGTTAAAAACAACAATTTATGTCTTATCAAGCAGATACTAAACAAAAAAATCCTCATAGTACAGAATACAGGAAGAAATACAAATGTAATGAATGATGCAGAAACATGGTTCCTGTATCCAGCAGGCAGATTTCCTTGTACCTGGAATTCCAGGATGTCACAGTTTGGTAAAGCAACACACTTGAACAAACAATCTTGAAGATTCAAGGCCTTGGTTGTATTTGCAGCATAGAAGGTTGTCAAACCTAGAAATCAAATATTAAAATTAATCAAAATCAAATTATCTATGTTTCAGAATTGTTTACCAACTGCTTTAGTAAAAGTTTCCCCTACATGAATTCCAACAGCACCGCTTTTAGTCAAAACATCTGACGTGCAATTGAATGGGCATTTAGAATTTAAATTAAGAATCTTGTAAACCATTTCAGTTTTGTCATCATATTTTAATTTATCTCTTAAAGCCTCTGATCTCACCCTGCAACCGACAACCCATAAAATCCTTCTAATTTTCAATTAACTAACTAAATTATCTGTCCCAAAATATATGTGAATTTGATGTGTGTATCCAATTAAATTTATTAATGTTAACTAACTTAGGGCCAACCATAGTAAATTGTGATTGCTCATGCTTTTTAGTTTAATAAAAATATGAATGAATATTGTACTTTGCACACAGAATTGTAAAATTCAAAACCACATTTAGTTGCTTTGGGTAAATTTTTCAGAATAACACCAATTTCTAGTTGAAAACAACTGTTTCCTAAGCAGAAAAGAGACCAAGTGAAGATGTTCATCTTTGACAAACCAATTTTATTTTCTGAAAAAAATACATGCTTTCTGTTTTAGAAAAAAAATTTAAATCACGTAATTTATCAAAAGCAAAATGTTTAAAATTTCATGAATATAAACATATCTACTTTGTTTGGTTTAGCATCTTAATTTCAGATCATGCTTCTTCAGTTAAAGGATGGATTCAAAGTTTATTTTTAAAAAATGTAGCAAAGTAAAATACAAAATATCTGGTAAGAAATTGGAATAATTCAATATAAAATTGGGTAGTTTTTGTATCCGTAAAGTTTTTTGACACATGATTAAAAGTGGGCCCTGGCAGATTTGAGGAAAAGGCATCATAAAGACCTAAACATATATATATTTGCACTTTTAAAAAGAATTTCAATCATCCAGGTAATTTTGGTCAGACTATTCAAATTTTGGAGAAATTACTACATGGTTACTTAATTTAAAAAAAGTCCACAAGTCATGCAAATTGAGGTAAACTTTCACTAAGACACCCAACAAAATCTTCACCCCAGAGCAAAGTACACTGTAAATATTAAAACGTAATAAAAAAATAATAATTTTTGGAAAATTATCCCTAAATTATGAATATTTTGAAAACGACGAAAATAAAAAAAATCCAGATTTTTTATTATTTTTATAAGAAAAACTGAATGCAGAAAAATATTTTTAAAAGTGTTTATAATGCAATTAACTCATTATTATTAAAAAAAGTGGATACAAATTTAACAATTTCAGGATACATATTCTCGCCACCTCTTTAGAGTAGACACCACCTAGTGGCCAAATGCGGCAGCTCTTGAATCATAATTTCTGGATAAACTTATCAGATTTTTTGAATAATTTGAAAAAACTTCCACATTAATTATACACATATTAAGTTAATTAAATAAAAACACAAACAGAAAAAAACAAATTGGTAATTAAATAAGATTTATTGAATAAATATGTAAACAGTACAAAATAGCAAAAACCCCGGGAAAGGGGGGGATATATAATTGATTTCTGATATATAAATATATTATAAAATATTCTGTGTAAAAGTATATAATTATTACAAAATGTTTAGAAAATAAACATTTTAGTTTATATCTATTACATTAAACATCTTGAACATGTAAACTTTAAACTTTTCTTATCATACTAAGTGATATTTTAAGTCTACTTAGTGTTAATTATGTTAATGTGTTCATAAATGTAAGAATTCTCCTTCCTGTATATATCTAAAAGATTGATATTTCAAAAAGGGGTTGTTAAGAAATAAAATACAAAATTCAATGTGAAACTTTTCTATGCTCTTGTTATAATCTAAAAAATTTATGTCAGTTAACATATTTTATTTTACTACAATAAACTTTTAGTTTCTAAATGATGAGCAGAGACACCAAGTGTTGTGATTTTGCAACTCTGTTAAAAATGAAACATGAAGTTCCTCCCGTGATATCTCAAATATTTTACGCGTGATATTTACAAGAATTAAAATCTAGATATTCTGGCATTCCATTACTCATGATTAACATGTTGGGAATATGGGAGAGCTTGCACTGGTATCTTTGCTACGAGCACAACATGTGAAAAAACAACAAGAATTGAACTACAGAATTATCTCAAATTTATTACACGTGATAATTACGAGAATTAAAATCTAAAAATTCTGACATTGCATTGCTCAAGTTTTACACGATAGGAATATGCAAGATCTTGCACTGGTTTATTTTGCTACGTGTACAACATGTGAAATAACAACGAGAATTTTCACAGAATATTTTCGCGTTTTTTACTCGTGCTGTACTCAGGAGGAATCTTCAAGTTTGTGAAAGTAGATTTACCACAAGTATAACACAAGGAGGGTCCGTGAATTATCAACCAGTTCTCCATCATGCTAATCTCGTTGAAAACCTGTGTTTTGTTTGCTGGGTACTTGTAATTAAAGAGAAGTCGTTTAAAAGCCTGTTATAAAGCTCGATACAAATTAAAATTTAAACCATTGTCTTGGTATTATCGCACCACTGTATTATTTCACAAGTACAACACTATTCATTCATGCTGTTGATGATTGATGCTAACTTGTTTTACCAGCAAATGTGATATTTGTTAGGTATAAAGAAACTAACAACTAACACATTCACTGAAAAAACTTTGTTTTTATCTTATTTATATGTCAGTGGTGCAGAGGCCAGCTCTATCTTCAAAATTGTTGAGCGATTTAAAATTCGGTGATGTTGATGGACCAAACCTCTGTAGAGTAAAAAAGTAGATGTTAGTTCCACATTTGTTGAAAATATTTTTCGGTCTGTGTTCACCCTTGTCAGTTCTTGAGATATGTTTCTTCACAATTGTCGAGCGTGTATAACAGCAGTTTTCATTAAAGTCAGAAGTGAATTAAACTAAACTACCTGTTCTACTAGGCCGCCATGCTGGCAGGCGATTCCTGGGTGAGCCGGGGATGGGGGGGGGGGAACGCTGTAGCTGCAGCATGGTCGGGGGCAGGTACACTCTCTATCTAACTCTCAATCTATCCTAAAATTTTTAGTTTTATGATAAGAATTTTTTAAAGTTTTTAGCTTGAGATTAACAAACTTTCTTTATTTCATTTCACATCAGAATATAATTTTTTTTTTATTAAAAAAAAATCAAAAGAATTTAATTTTTAATCAACAATGAAGGTATATGTTTTTACAATATTTTTGTAATTTTTCAAATATCATTTGTTGAAAAACATATCTTTTACAAAAAACTTAATAAAAGGAAAAAATATTTTTAGTTTTCAAATAAACATAATTTTTGAATATTATATTAAAAATTAAATTAAGAAAAAATTTTAAAAATGTTGCTGATGTATATTTACAGTGTAAGTTTATTTTTATGGTTAATTTATAAATGTCCAGAGATAATTTAAATAGTTGTGTACAATGCTACATTTAGTAATTTATAAAGTAAGGAAATAATAAACATTTTCATTTTTCAATTTTAATCTCTAGAAAAAATAAACTCTTCTTAGGCGGTCCTTATACTCAACTAAATGAAAGCTGTAACTTTTCAGCTTTCTATTAATTTTGATTGATATCACCAATCAATGTTATAAAAATAAGTTCATCAATAACAAAAAATATTGAGCCTTAAAGTGAGTGACCGGCTATGTAAGGTAGTTGAACTGAGTGTTGTGGAAAACTTCTTTCAGATTTATTTGAGACATATTAAACTTTTTAAAGATCTGTAAATCCTGAGTTTGAGCGCAAAACTCCTACTTTGGGGTGTGGATACGTTTTCAGAATTAGTTTTTTTAAATTATTAAATAACAACGACATAAAATGTAAAAAAGTTCTACAATAAATTATAGACGTTATGTATAGGAACATGTTGAGAAAATAAAAATTGATCTTATCATCGAAAATAAGTAATCTTGTTCAATTATTAGTTTCTATTTTCTTTTTATTCTGGTTTCTCATTATTTACAAAGATTTTCGAAGATTTTCTAGAATTATTATTGAAAAGACGACATTTGAAGAATTTGAAGAAATCTGCGAATAAATTCAAAGAAAATAAGAACTTCAATATAATAATGAAAAAGAAATAATCGATTTTAGCATTGATTTATTGACAAATTTCTTTTGAGAAATATGTTCCTAACCATCTAATTAGATTACATTATAATTTTTACTTCATTTTTCGTTGTCATTATTTAATAATTTAAAAAAAAAACAATTCTGAAAACGTATCCACCCCCAAAGTAGGAGTTTTGAACGTCGAATTTGCACTCAAACTCAGGATTTACAGATCTTTAAAAAGTTTTATAAGTCTCAAATTAATCCAAAAAAAATGTAACTTAAAAAATAATTTTTTATTTGTTTATTTTTGTACTTTACTTCAATAAGTTTATATACTTTTAATTAAAATTTTAATAATGCATTAATAACTAAAACATTGATAGCTTTAAAAACTAGGTCTCAAATAAATCCTAAAAAATGTCTCCACAATTCTGCACTCTCAGATCAACAACCATGTATACGCAGTAGCTCCCTTTAAAGGGTAGAAGGGGGAACGCAGATAAAGGGGAGGGGGTGGGAGGAGAAGAAAGGGTTAATGAAGGATAATAAAATATTTTGATTGAAAACTAATTTAACCTTTTTAAACTTTTAATGGAAAATTGTTGATCGAAATATAATAACTTTTATCCAGTTCTTTGATTGGGGGGGGGGGGGGTAGATCCATTAATTACAGTCTACCCAGATAGATCAGGTAAAATTGGAAGGGGGAACCCCTTCCAATTTTGATTTTTTTATGAAAAGAACAGCTTTTGGTTAAGTTAGATTAACAACATTTTTTAAACAAGCCTTCTCTGGATTTTTTGGTTCCGAAATAGAAGGTAAATTTATAAATTTTTAAATATTTTTGAAAAATATGAATAAAATAACAATAACCCCATGTGAGATGACAGATAACTTCTTTAGTAAAGTAAAAACTTAAAAAATTATTTCTTTATGAAATATAACAAAAACATACAAAATAAAGTGTTTCAGAAGAAAATATTTAAAAACTTTTATAAGTAGTGGTTGTGGGAATATTTCCCCCCAATTAGGAATGTTGAACTAAATTCTAAATGGGAGTGGAAAAAGGAGTAATAGAGCAATTTCATGGTTTCAAAGCTTAAGAAGTTTTTAATTTTTTTCATAGCATAAAGTGAATAAGTTAATCGCTTGTATATTTTTTAAAATAGTTATTAAAGTTTAATTTTGTGTTCAGCCATATTCCCAAGAATCTTACTGCATCTGCTTCTTTTATTCGTTAATTTTTCGTGTAGATTCTCCTAATTTAAAGAAAACATCAGGACAGTCGTTTTGTGCATTTAGAGAATTTGAAAATAAGATTGCATTAGTTTTCTCAAAGTTATGATAAATTATGATCATTTTAGGTACCTTTACCTGACGGTTAAATAATGAGTTTTTGGGGGGATTTTTCTTGTCTGGTTTGTTGGATCCATAATTTACCAGATTCTTAATTCAATATAGAACTGGGACGTATATGTATTGCAGTAACCCGTACTTAGTAAAACAAGAAAATTGCAGTATACAAACAGAGTAAACTTGTCCTTCTTCACTGTTCATTTTGCGGAGACATTATAGAGACATCTTTACAGTCTTTTACCCTTTTCATTAAATAAACTCTAGCTGACCTAATAATCTTAGGGCTTTTGAAATTAGGTATTACAATGCTAATTCATAACAAAGACGATGTTCAATTCGTCACTGAATTCCCATGTTTATTGGGACACCCTGTATATTATTCAACAAATCATACAAATTCATTTGTATGTTCCGGTTCGTAATTTTTAGTGGTTGTGTGTGTCATACATAACATTGTACATCGACACCTTCTATAAATCCCTACTGCCTCCAGATATGCAATCTCGGCTTGGAAATGCATTTTTAACTCAATAATAATATTTTGTTTATTAACTAGATATCAATCTCAGCGGAATATAATTATAAAAAAACATTTTATCAAAATTATGCTTTGAGCTTCACCAGGACATATTCACTCATTTCCCTAAAGTATTAAATATTATTTTTATTCAGGAATTTATACTAATACAATGCTGAAAACATCCCAAATATTTCAAGGCTTTACAAACAACTATAGAAATAAAGAAAAGCAGGATAGGTCATATGGATATCTCAAGAATGAATATGTTATCCATGTTTGAATACGAAATTGATTATTTTTTAATTGTGGTTTCCCTACATTATTGATTTACGGATTTCTGCTAGAGAAAAAAGATGATTTTTAACATAATTGATTAAATAAAGGGGCACTCACGACAGTCTCTTTTGTAAAAAAGACGACTTTTAAATTGGTTATGACGTAAGACGTTGAGGATTTAAAAAACCATAGATTAAAAACAATACAGATAGAACACTGGATGTCGTATTTTCAATGGTTTTTTTGTTCACAATAACCATGAGGCAGATCCCAAAGGAGTTCCGCGCAAGCAGCGTTGAAATAGAAGGCAGAGAGAGAGAGAGAGAGAGAGAGAGAGAGAGAGAGAGAGAGAGAGAATACGAGTTCTAAATCTTGAAAAAGACGACGTCTAGTGTTCTATCTGTTTTGTTATTAATCTATGAAAATAACACACTTTAAATTGACTGACGTAAGTAAAGGTTACCCTCCATTTACAAGAAGGTCTTGTTTGATTCCCAACAGTACCCTGTTATTTGAAAACCTTGGTAAAAGTAAAAATTATAAAGTTATCCTTTTTTTACTGTCTTCAAATGCCAAAAAGGAATTTTACAGAATTAAACAATTTTCAAGAGAAAATAACACCTAAGTCTTTCACTTTAATGGGTACTGTTGTGAATCATATATTGAGTCCCATTAATGAATATAATTCTGAACCTGTAAATATAGGAGAGGTCTGTGTGAAGGGTATTCTGCTGTAGGAAGAGGGAGTAGAGGCTTGTGGCGAAGAACTCTCTTCTGATCCCGTAGAGGTTGGGCAGGAGGCTGGTCAGCTCATCTCTCACTATAGTTAAAGAGATTATGCATACAGTTTAAACCAGACCTTCGGAGACGTTAAAAGAATTTATAAAACATTGTATTCTAAGCCTACTTAGAACGGAATGCTGCAGATATATAGTTTTTAATTGAATAATTATATGGAGCTCTTTAAAACTGTTTTTACATGTCATGACTATTATTTTATTTTTACAATTACTGAGAATTAGGAATAATATAAAAATCAAGCTGTGCCTGTACAGTACAAATACACCATAAGGCAGAACGGGACTGTAAACGCCGAATTTTATGATCCCTCAATTTTTAGATTTGGAATAAAAATAACAATCATTTTTGCATTTTGAAACATCTCTAATTTTTTGACGAATTCTAAATTTGGGACATTTTATATTTTAATTAAAATAAGCGAATATAATCCCTTTAGTTTGACAAAAAATGATGTAAATCAACACTAAAAACAATAATGGCAGACTTTCTTTCAGTTTTATCAGAACATTTAGTAGTATTTCTTTTTTTATGAGAAAATATTGCTGAAAACGGGGCTCTCATCAAATTATCATACAATTAGTAATTTTAACCTGAGGAATATGAATCCTCCGATTTTTTTTGCTTTTTCTCCGCATCTTCAATAATGGACCTGATGAATAAAATAGTAAAATTTTCAATAATGGACCTGATGAAAACAATATGTAAAATCTTCAATAATGGACCTGATGAATAAAATATGTAAAATCTTCAATAATGGACGTGATGAATACAATATGAAAAACCTTCAATAATGGACCTGATGAATAAAATATGTAAAATCATCAATAATGGACCTGATGAATACAATATGTAAAATCTTCAATTATGGACCTGATGAATACAATATGTAAAATCTTCAATAATGGACCTGATGAATAAAATATGTAAAATCTTCAATAATGGACCTGATGAATAAAATATGTAAAATCTTCAATAATGGACCTGATGAATAAAATATGTAAAATCTTCAATAATGGACCTGATGAATAAAATATGTAAAATCTAAAATAATGGACTTGATGAATAAAATATGTAAAATGTTCAATAATGGACCTGATGAATACAATTTGTAAAAAAAATACAAAAAAAATAACTTCAGTCTTAATCTCAAAAAAGTTGGGCAAGATTTGTTGGCGATTTTGTTTGTTTTGGTTGAATTAATATTTGAATTAACTATTTTAAATCACAAAAATGTACACCCTTAGTTAAAATGTACGCATTTTCTTAAAAGGATAACTTTTAGAAAGATAAAAAGTATTGAGGATATCAAGATCAATGCTTGATTTCAATCTTTTTAATGTAGAAATTAATTTAATCTTTACTCGATAATCAGTGAAGTGCAAACCAAGAGCCAATCAGAAGCCATGGAATTTTGCCTTTAACCGTTGAGAGAACAGAATAATCCAAAATTAAGAGATAAGCAGATTCTGCAGAGAATTCATAAGTTTCCACTATGGATATCGAGATCAAACAAATTGGAATCATGTGTATTCAATACAAAAGTTTTCAGCTTAGTTTTAAAAATCTTATTATTTTAGTATCAAGGACGACCTTTCTGTAGATTCCACTGCTTTAAGTTTCCCCAGATGGAATTTATCCTGATCCGCTGATATTCTTAATATTTCACTTTTATCCACTCTCCCTTTTACTTCCTGAAAACATATAAAAGTCGATTATTTATAGACAATTCTTTGATTTGTTTTTATAATTATTTTGCAAATAAAATGGTATACGGAATTTCCAATTTTATTATTTAGTTCTAAAAATTATATATCCCCATGACTTTAATGCAAAATTTTAATCGATCTTGTTTGATTCATTTTGACATGGGCAATTGGCTTATTGTTTTTTTAGTTTCATTTTATCTTTCAATCTGTTGAAAACGAGCAAAAAAACTCAATAAATAAGTCTAAAGAGTATGTTTACTCCAGATTTATCAGATTCAAGAATATGTTTACTCTTTTTGTATTGTTTTGTATGAGATTTAAGAACACTTTTTTTCTGAGTTGATGAGATTCAGGAATATTTTAGTTTGATAGAAGAATATTTCTACTTCAGGGTTATGAAATTCGAATCGTTTTGGTTGATATCTTAACTATTTGAATAAAAGTTTGGGATTTTTTTGTAAAAGCAATCTTTTGGGTCATATACAGGGTTACCCACAAAGGATGAGACTTCATAGACAATTGTACAGAATTTTGTAAGTCAGTTTTGTTGCATTTAGGGTTCCTTGTAGGCCAAAACTGGCATATTTTTTGTGCTCAATCAGCTATTAAATCATCACATATACTCAATTGAATGAAGAATTCAAAAATCAGGCTTCAAATCGTCACATTTTTTGAATTTTGGGTCGTCTTTACAGTCTCATCCTTAGTGAGTAACCCAGTATATTTGAAGGATCAACGATTCTAAGATGTTAACCCCCATGAGGCTTATGGCTCCCTGCCGTCCCCAGCCATAAGCCACATCATTTTCTCCTTCCATGCCACATATTTTTTTGTCTTCCGACAGCCATGATCCACAACCGTATGGTCTTTCATGCCACAGCATTTGAGTCTTCAGACAGTTATTAGGTTTTTAAATAACAAACTTAGGGCATTGAAATTGCAATTTTTTAAAATCCTGTCTCATTACATGAAAGATTATGCCTGTAAGAAATTTTAGAAGTTTATTAAAGATCAATGAATTGTGTGTTCAGTTTATAAACTGCTTTACACTTACAAAGAAGATTTACATCATTTTACGCACTGTAGGCATCGAGACAAATTGTTTGGGGTAGTCTAAAGAATAAGAAAAGATGAGAAAATCACAATTTTTACTGTTGCCACAAAAAAATATCTACTTTGCAATTTTCTCGTTAAATAGTGAAAATTTTTGGTTATGGACGCCCTTTGAACTTTAAGAGTATGTTATGGTGCACATTTTTATTGTTCATAATGTTTTCAAAAATAAGCCATTTTTTAAAAATCACAATGCCAATACACTAAGTTTATAATTTAAAAAACGCAATAAGTGCCGGAAGACTCTAATGCTGTGGCATGGAAGAACGTACGGTTGTGGCTCATGGCTGCCGGAAGAGAAAAAAGCTAATATGTGGCATGGAAGGGAAAAATGTTGTGGCTTATGGCCCTCCTCCCATCCCCCGTCACCCCAAAAAAATTATGATTCAATACTACAATTGGATCTCAGTAATTACATTATATCGACCAATTAAATAACATTTGACACACTTTGTAGTGTTTAAACAAACATTTTTGTTCAAATACAAAAAAATCGAACTTCCAAAAGGCAATTCTAAATAATGAATGAGTTCTTCAAAATTTTAAACAGATAGCTAATGATTTCTCGCATATTTGTAAATCCCTAAAATTAGATTTATTCGGCTTTTTATTTCAATCGTTCTTTGATCGTTTAGCACAAAAGCTATATCTTGTATAAAAGTTTGTCGGAATAAATCGTTAGTTCACTAAAAACAATCTTTTAAAAAAAAACTTTGTTCCATAAAATCATTTGTTCAGTTAAAAAAACAAACAATAGTGTTCACGTCCGTCAATCGATCATTTTTTGCCTGAACGAAATTATCATTCGCAAAAATTTTTCTTCGTTCGTTCACAGCAATACCCTTCTCGACATACCATTGGACAATGGACATTGGACAAAAGGCTTTCAATATTCTGAATAATATGTTAATGAGGACCTGAAACTGTCTTGAATAAGTATTAAGAGTTAGAACAACCTCCTTCTCAAGTACTTCAATATTCTGCTGGCGACGAGCCTGGATAGCTTCAGTGTTCTGGAGAAAGCTCTCGAGATTACTCCAATCCTAATAAATATTTAGTTTACTCTAGTGATAACCATAATACTCTGCAATAGGAAGACGACTTTCAGAATCAAGTTTTATAGCTTTAAAAAGTCTAATAAACATACAAAGCACAGCATTTGTGCAGTGTAAACAGACCAATTTCACTAATTTACTGATTTAAAAAGTGCCTTGTAAAACTATTTGCTTTGTAACATCATCAAATATACTTAAGTATTCCTATTCCACAGTTGTCTGGTTATTACTCTAATTAAATTGGCTGGAGATGCCTGTGATATCTCAAAACTTGGTTGCAATCTAAGGTTGCAAGCTCTCAAGCTAAAATCAATGAGAACTTTGCCAATTACTTATCAAACCTCAAAGCAAAATAAGTGTTCTATAGATCTAAATTATTCATGTTCAGGACTACAAAAAAAATAAAAGGAAGTTTTTGAGGTAAACTCAAAGCTTAAGGTGTTGCGACACTTCAAAGTCGACCCAATCTTGAAAACTGAAGGATCTATGAGGGCAGCATTTCATGTATTGTTCATCCAAGGTCAAAAAGTAGAAATATTGCTATCTTAACGTTCTGAATAGGTCTTTTGCTCGACAACAAGCTTTTTAGTGATAAATAAATATATTTCCCTTTTAAACGCACAGAGAAAAAGGAAGAACTTATTTACATATCCTAGGACGATTCTCACGGACAGCTGTAGTACATTTGAATTTCCGAGCCGGGTCAAACTTTCCGGTCCCAGTTTGTACTGTTTCGCCCGGACATTGGGTAAAAAAAGCAGAAACTCAGTAGGAATAGCTGGTGCAGCAAGGTTGACGTGTTCAGACTTTAGTCTAAATTTACTTTTACTAAAGGGTCAGAGGTATGAGTTCTAAATATAGATTTTGCCTGTATATATACAAATTATACTTTACTTCTAAATGTATTGCAAGATTTAAAAAACTAGAAAATATTGATTGTTTGTAAAAATCAAATATCATATGAATGATGAAAACCTGAATGTTCAGAGACCAAGTGTGAAAAAGGTCAGCCTCAGCTGACCTGACAGCCTCCAGAGCCTTCACATAATTCAAAACTAAAAAATTAAATTTTTTTTTTCAAATATAGTTGTATACTAGGTTGGATGCCCAGCTTCGCTGGAAACCATATTCTCCTTGGAAAAAATAAACCCATTAGACTTGGATCTTATAAAACAAGCTAGGAACATTCTCGAGGTTCTTTGGAGATCCTTAATCAAAATTTGAGACAAATCGGTCAGTGGTTAAAAAAAGACATACTATAACACATACTAAGACTCTAGATTCTAGAGACTAGATAATTTATATAGATAAATCCAAATCTAGAAAAGGAAATGATTACTCGCTACAAACTCTAGCTTTCTCATCCTTATGTTTGCAACCTGATGGCTTCAAAGCTATCGAGATTAGAAAATAACAGTATGAAATGATTAGTTCCGATAACCTACAGTGAGACCCACAAAACTGTGGAGTATGAGGACGATATTATTTCTGTACTTGATGTCGTTTTATATTTAATGTTTTACCAAGTAGCTTGAAAATCAATATTGAACTATTTATAATATAATCATTACGTGATTCGGACAGTCGTCTTCCACAATGTTATGCGTCTCACTGTACATTCCAAATGTTTTTTCTCCTAAATTTTCAAAATTTACAAATTGTGTGAATCAACAATAAAGATTATACCTGATTTATTTAACAATTGAACCTCCTGGTTTTGCAGTTTAAACTGAGACACCTGAAAAATAATAATTCACAGTCCAATGCCCTGCCCCTGCCCCCTTTGTTAAATAATAGTTTGAAGAAATATTTTAATCTAATTTTTAAGTTATAAGATATGGGCTTTCTCGCTTCTCCGTTGATATAATTACTTAATATCATATTTGTTTCCATTATTGGTCATCTTTCTTTTTAATGTTTTGTTTTCAAACAGTTGGGGAACTCTAAAACTTGAAACCGACCATAAGGTGCTGATAGTCGGTTTATGCCTTATAGAAACCGACCATTGGTGCTAATGGTCGGTTAATGCCTTATAGAAACCAACCATTGGTGCTAATGGTCGGTTTATGCTTTATACAAACCGACATTGGTGGTAATGGTCGGTTTCTGTCTTATAGAAACCGACTATTAGGTGGTAATGGTTGGTTTCTGCCTTATAGAAACCAACCATTATGGGCAATGGTGTGTTTTTGCCTTATAGAAACTGAACATTACGGCCTTTTCGTTGGAGAGTCTAAACGTTTCAGTAGAGACCCCAGATTTTCATAGGAGACCCCTAACTTTTCATCTGTGGGGCTTCAATAAAAATCATGGAGTCTGCTATGAAAATCTGGGGGTTTCTTATGAAAATATTTCTTCAATGAAAATATTTGGGTCTCCGATAATAATCAGGGAGTCTCCAATGAAAATTTGGAGTCTCCAAAGAAAATCTGGGGGTATCCATTGAAAATTTGGGGGTCTCCAATGAAAATTTTGGGTTTCTCCAAAAAATATCTGGGGTCTCTTTCGATATATAAGTACAACCCTTATTATTTTTGCCGTATTTGGGGGTGTCATAAAACTTGATATTTCATCTAAAACGACTCTGACAGGCAGTTTCTGCGAAAGGCGGACAAAATTTTAGATTAAAAGGAGAAAAAACAAACATGCAATTCTCCGTACTTTATGAAACAAATGATGAAACTAATTAAATGTGCAAAATTGTTAACAGTGATATCTCAGAATTGTGCCTGATGTTATATGATCAGCCCATAGTTTCTCCAAATATTCAGGTTGATTTATCCGGCCCAACCTTCCAAAGAATGCCGTTTATATTTTGGTTTTGCAAGTTTAAGGGGTTAACTGCTAAAGCGAAAGTTTAGTATCAGGCCTCCAGGCAAAACTGGGCCCTCAAGCTAGTCTATATCTATATATATATATATATATAAAGTAGTAATCTCTGATTGTCTGTTTAGATGTCCGATCATAACACATGGACCAGATTGCCTCAAATTTTACCCTGATCAGAGAGCAAAGGAATTGAGTACCACTATTGAACCCACTATCAGTCCTTGGGCTTCACCATTAATTACAGTTAAAAAGAAGGATGGAAGGACGAGGTGGGTGATGGTCTCAGGCTTTAAATGCCAGCACAGTGAAGGACACTTATACGTTGAAGAGATAGAGAGAGACAGAGAGAGAGAGAGAGTGCAGTACCGTCAAGTTTATGACAACATCGAGACAAGACCAGCCAGTCGCGTGTTGCAAAAATGTTCGGATTTTCAACTTCAGCGGCCTGCAATGACAATTTGGGAGTCTCCGACGAAAATCTGGGGACTCCAATGAAAAGTTTGGGTCTCCAACAAAAATCTGGTGTGCCCGAGTAAAAGATTGAGGTCTCCAATCAAATCTGGGGGTCTCCAATAAAAATATGGGGGGCTCCAATGAACTTTCGAGGTTTCCATTATATATCTGTGGGTGTCCCATAAAATTCTGTGGGCCCCTAAAGTTCTGGGAGTCTCCTATGAAAATCTGGGGTCTCCAACGATAACCTAGGGTCTTCAATATAAATCTGGGGGTCTCCAATGAAAATCTTGGGGTCTCCAATGATAATCTGGGGATCTCCATTGAAAGACTATAAGGCAGAAACCGAGCATTAACCCCCTCATGATCGATTTCAAGGGCGAGAACATGTTACAGAACAAATACATCCCCTTTACAGAAGACCTCCCACCCTGGTAGTAAATATTCGTTAAATTTTCTATTTACTCCCCCCCTCCCTTCACTTAACGAAGAGAGTTAGATTGGAAGATCCACTCGGAAATACTTTTTCCCAATACTTAACTTTTCCTTTGAAGAAAAAAACTATTCTAAAAAAGGAACACACTAATCTGTTACGGAGGCAAGCAGACTCAAACATTTTGCAGATTGATCATTGATCCCACCTTGTCTTCCAGTTCAGGATCAACAGATTTCTCAGTTTTCCCGAGCTTCAAGAGTATCTTCTCCTTCAGGTGGAAACTTTTCCTTCTCAATGACTGTTTTATTTTTCTTCCTCCCTCCCTACCTGAAAATTTAATTTAAAGGGACTGTAAGCATATTTTCAAATGACCCTTCATGCAAAGATGGCAATGCACGCGATTTATAAAGGTAACCTTAAAACCTTTAACTCAACACTTGTATGAAATAGATATCAACGTTCATAATTTTGAAAACGGACTATTTTCAATCGTGGTTTCTCTAAAAGGGACTTGCGCATTTCCACTTTTTTTCTACATAATACATATAAGATTTATCACAATTAAACACTTTTAAACATAAAAAACAGAAAACCTTCCACATTATTGATCAGATAAAGGTTTAATAGGTACAGTTGTAATTCAGGAATTGTCACCTTTCCATGTATAGGATCACTTGAAATTTGCTAACATTCCCTTTAACAGAGGGTCACTCAAATGATTCTTGGAAGCAAGGTACGTGTACCAAGCAAATAGATTTTAGTACAATAGATGGCAACGTCGAATTTGTACACTCTCAGTGCAGCTGTATTCTTACGTCACAAGTGTGTCAGATAAAAGTATTAATAATAATGATAATTTTAGAATAAAATGCTTATCTTAGACTAAAATAAGTGTTCTTATGTGTTCTTCATTTTCTGTTTTTACATTTTTTTTATTCAATCTTGGAAAACATGTCAACTAATTTCAGAAAATTTTGTTTTCTTTGTTATATTTGACACTTGTGACGTCGTGTGTAATTGGTCTATTTCTCTGTTGCCACCTATTGTACTTGACAATCTATTTGGTACCAAGAAGTATGAAAGTTCAGTACCAACTTATAGATCTTATTTAACTTTGATAGCAATCTTATGACAAGATTCGCATAAAAAGCGGAAAATAATTTAGTGGTACCCCTGACACGCTGCATATTCTGAGAGCAAAGCTCAAAGACGACCTTTAACTAATCTGTGTCCGAATTTAATGAATTTGAGCCGCGTCTTAAATCCACTAAAAACCTGCTTAAATTGAGCGCCGTCTTAAATCTTGGAACATTGAATACAATTCTAATTTGAACCAACCATATTTAAGCAGCGACTGAAATTTAAGCCGCGGCTGAAATTCTTTAAATTCGGCCTCTGGATTAACTATCATGTTACACTGTGGTTACATTTTAAAAGTGAACCATTAATTAAAAACCAAATTATGTTCATATAATTTTTTTAGATGAATATAAAAATACTGTTCATTTTGATGAAATACACTTGTTCCAGTGTGTACTGTAATTTTGTGATTGAGTTTACCTGGGTTTGGTTTAGTAGATTTGTATCTATGAAGAAGGTTAGAATAAGCCAAGTTTGCAAAATATCCTTTCGACAAATATTTTTCTTCAAGATACCTAAAACATTGTTTTTATTCAAATTACTTTTAAGTATAATTATTATCATTATTATCATTATTATTATCATGATTTAATATCAAGGGCGTGTAAACGGCGGGTTTAACTATGACTTTTAACAATAATAAAAACCTGGGCAACGTTGGGTACAACAGATATATATATATGTATATATATATATATATATATATGTGTATATATATATATATATATATGTTAGAAACTCTTTCTCAAATTTTCATGGTGGTTAAAAATTATTTATTTATTTTATCAAAGTAAGGTTTATTAAGTTGAATCATGTCATGACAATATCTAAAAGATTAATCTTAGGCCCGGTTTCGACTTCAGCGGCGCGGCCAGACTTTTTACAGTACACTACCTATTATAGGTAGTGTACTACTATAGTACACTTTTTACAGTACACTACCTATTATAGGTAGTGTACTACTATAGTACACTTTTTACAGTACACTACCTATTATAGGTAGTGTACTATTATAGTACACTTTTTACAGTATACTTTCTATTATAGGTAGTGTACTAGTACACTTTTTACAGTACACTACCTATTATAGGTAATGTTTTATTAAAGTACACTTTTTACAGTATACTATCTATTATAGGTAGTGTACTATTATAGTACACTTTTTACAGTACACTATCTATTATAGGTTGTGTACTATTATAGTACACTTTTTACAGTACACTACCTATTATAGTTAATGTACTATTATAGTACACTTTTTTCAGCACACTACCTATTATAGGTAGTTTACTATTATAGTACACTTTTTACAGTACATTACCTATTATAGGTAATGTATTATTTTAGTACACTTTTTATTGTACACTATCTAATATAGGTAGTGTAATATTATAGTACACTTTTTACAGTACACTACCTATTATGGGTAGTGTACTATTAAAGTACACTTTTTACAGTACACTACCTATTATAGGTAATGTACTATTATAATACAATTTTTACAGTACACTATCTATTATAGGTTGTGTACTATTATAGTACACTTTTTACAGTACACTACCTATTATAGGTAGTGTACTATTATAGTACAATTAATTAAATGGTGAATGAAAATCCAACCTTATCTCCTCCTTGTTATCAGTTTGATAAAGGGAAATTATTCTCTGCTTATCCTCATCTTCTGATACTGGCAGAAAATATCTAGACCGTGGGTTCAGCTGGTACTTCTAAGCAATCAATCAATCAATCAAACATTGAAAAATAAATAAATCATTAATAAATAGATAAATAATTGATTAAAAATCAATCAATCATTAATAAATAGATCAATGAATCAATCATTTATCAATAATTCAATCAATAATCAATAAATCAATTAATCAATCAATTAATTGGTTAATCAATCATTAATAAAGAAGGTAATGAACAATAAATCAATCAATGATCAAAAAATCAATGATGATCAATAAATCATTCAGTCATCAATAAATTAATCAATCATCATTAAATAAAGCAATCAATCAATAAATCAATCAATCATCAATAAATCAATCAGTTAAACAATAACATTTTAAAAAAAAAATTCTTATTGAAAAGACTTGTAAACAATAAAATTATTATTTTTACGAAGACTGAATTTCAAATGAATAAAAAATACCTTGATATTTTTACTTAGCTCTGTAGGATTCTTTAGCTTTGTGAGAACTTTATATAATTCCTCTCTCTCCTCTAAAACCTAAAGTAAATCACACGTTAAACTAAGTAAATTGAACGTTAAACTATAGTAAGTTACACGTTAAACTATAGTAAATTACACGTTAAACTAAGTAAATTACACGTTAAACTAAGTAAATTACACGTTAAACTAAGTAAATTACACGTTAAACTAAGTAAATTACACGTTAAACTATAGTAAATTACACGTTAAACTAAGTAAATAACACGTTAAACTAAGTAAATTACACGTTAAACTAAGTAAATAACACGTTAAACTAAGTAAATTACACGCTAAACTAAGTAAATTACACGTTAAACTTAAGTAAATTATACGTTAAACTAAAGTAAATTGCATGTTAAACTTTAGTAAATTACACGTTAAACTATAGTAAATTGCACGTAAAACTTAAGTAAATTACACGTTAAACTTAAGTAAATTATAGGTTAAACTATAGTAAATTGCACGTTAAACTTAAGTAAATTACACGTTAAACTTAAGTAAATTACACGTTAAACTATAGTAAATCACACGTTAAACTATAGTAAATTACACGTTAGATTAAGTAAATTACAAGTTAAACTAAGTAAATTACACGTTAAACTAAGTAAATCACACGTTAAACTAAGTAAATTACACGTTAAACTAAGTAAATTACACGTTAAACTAAGTAAATTACACGTTAAACTATAGTAAATTGCACGTTAAACCTAAGTAAGTTGCACGTTAAACTTAAGTAAATTGCACGTTAAACTAAGGTAAATTACACGTTAAACTAAAGTAAATTGCATGTTAAACTTAAGTAAATTACACGTTGAACTATAGTAAATTGCACGTTAAACTAAGGTAAATTACACGTTAAACTATAGTAAATTGCATGTTAAACTTAAGTAAATTACACGTTAAACTATAGTAAATTACACGTTAAACTATAGTAAATTGCACGTTAAACTTAAGTAAATTACAAGTTAAGTTATAGTAAATTGCACGTTAAACTAAAGTAAATTGCACATTAAACTAAAGTAAATTGCACGTTAAACTATAGTAAATTGCACGTGAAACTAAAGTAAATTACACGTTAAAATAAAGTAAATTGCACGTTAAACTTAAGTAAATTGCACGAGAACTTGAAATCTTATTTTCAATCATAACTTCTTAACTTCTTAATGAACAGCTATGAGAAGAATTTAAAATTTCTAATATGTATATGTATATCTAATATATATTTATATCTAATATGTATATGTATATCTAATATGTATATGTATATCTAATATTGTGTAATTGAATTTCTGATATGTAAGCATGTAACAAATGTCTTCCTCAAACGTAAAATAGTAACTAGAAGAGCTATAAGGTCACAAAGTCGGACCAGTAATGTTGTAAAAAGAACCTGGGATGTTTAAAAAGATGAAAGTTTCCCTGTGTGATAATTAAAGAACTTGAGTATGGCTTTGGTGAATCATATTGACGTACAACTAAGCCTATGGGGGTGTCAGAAATATTTTTTTCGCATTTTTTGGAAAACGACTTAAATAAAACTAAAAAATTCAAACTTTTAATAAAACTTTTATTTTGATTGCATATAATCATATAAAACCCGACCAGGCATGTTTTTTCTAAATTCACTAAGTTAAGAGTTTAAGTCATTGATAATTATTGCTTTATATCGAGTAGATATCCTTGAACATACTGATGTAAAACCTTTCAGAAAGTAGGAAAGATTCCGCCTAAAAAAAGTTTCTAAGCCAACAGAATTATCATTCTTAATAAAATTAAAGAAGTAGAGTCAAAAGCACTTCTAAGTATAATTTCTTTATAGTTTTGCACTATTTAACCAAGTAAAAATTATTTATTCTGTCCATTTAAAGATGTCCATCTCCGATGAGAAATTTCTTGAATTGAAAAATTTCTTTGATTGAAAAAATATTTTAATGTTTTTTTTTCATTCTAAATCAAGATTATTAAAAAGTGCAGTAGAAAGAAGGAATGGGAAACTTCGAGCGGCATATTTAATAATATTATTTAATAATACATTTTTAACTTTTAAACTTTGACATAAAAAAAGATTTTAGCTTTGAGATAAAAACGATCAATATTAAAGTCAAAAATTGTTTTATATTTTGGAAAACTTTCAACTTCAAATTATATTTTCAATGCGAATTTACTATATTACCATATCAAAACTGAATTGTTTTAAAAACAATGTCTCAAGAAAAATAAGAAGATAAGGAAATCTAAGATTGATCTTAATCAAACAGAATTAATAATTTAAAATATTAGTCCACGAAATTGGGTTGCAAAGATATAGAAACAGTAAAAAATGAATTTGTGGCAAAAACTGAGATCATTTTCATCTCTAATTCTAATATCAAAACCTGAAGAGGGTTGGCCTGTAAACTCCAGGCCCTGACCATCCAGGCAGAATCCAAGCAACTCAACCAACCCCTGAAATCAAATATTTTTCAAATTCGGAGAAAAATGATTTTGATAAGATGAACAGATACTTCTACACTAAATCTGTATTTTCACCGGCCGCCAATGTAAGTATCTCTGTTATGAAAATGCAGATAAAAAGGAAAGGTTCTGTTTCAGGGTATTAGGCAACGAGGTTATAGTGTATAGAGTGATGATTTACGCTAATCCTTGAATAATTGTACAGGCCATGATTTATACCGAGAGCGTACTGCATATTTATTTATCATAAGGAGATTATTGCCTAAACTCTAGTATATCAATATTAGTAAACAGTTGTAAGTGTACAGTACAGCTAACTGAGCACACAGGTAGAGAACTATCATCCCCCCTAGTATTAGGACAGTTTGACAGTATATCGTGAACGTATCGTGAGGAAATCTGGCCGGTGGAAATGCAATGTATAAATCATATTTGTTTTTGCTGAAGAATGCAGGGTGTCCCACGAAACATGACAGTTGGTTTAAAATGTCTTCTTCTATGATTTGTAAAGTTGATTGATACCAAAGAGAATAATAAAAAATATTGTATGAGAGTCATATTACAGCAAAATTGATTTATATTTGAGAAAAAGATTTTTTAAACAAAATAAACTACAAAAGTCTTTAATATCTAATACAGTATATGGAAGAAGACATTCAAACCTATTCACCAACTGTCATGTTTCGTGGGACACCCTGTATAAAGCAAGTTTAGCCACAACGAAAATATTTGTTTTATAAATCAAACTGTCCTCAATATTTTCACATAAAACCAGACAGCTATCATAAGGTTGCATCAAGATCCCAGACTGGGTCGAATTTGAAGTGTCAGAAACCCCTCGGCCATTGATTTTACCTGTTGATTTTTATGTAGCCCAAGACATGTGTATTAGAAAACTATTTTTAACAAAATTCTCATTGCTTTTTCGAGAGAGCTTGCAACCTTTGAAACGTTGTTTTATATCTTAAACTTCATGTAGTAAGATAAAAAAAAACATGGATTCGGAAGACGATATTTAAGTTATTATGTTTCACCAATAGCTTAAAAATGAACTGTGAATATTTAAAGCAAGGTTGTGGAGTAAGGTTAGAATAGATACTCTGCGGGGTACACTTCGCCGTTCTATAAATTTAATTTTCAAAGTAATGAACACTTAAAATCCTCGCATATTACGTTGCTGGAACGTGAGAGAGGGGGGGAAGGGTTCCCGGAGAAACCCCCCCTCCCCTCAACAGCAACGTTGTCTCTCCGCCAATAATCCGTTACGTCATATGAGGATTGTAAGTGTCAATTGCTATGAAGACGACATTTATTGTACATTCAGATTCTTTAACCTTACTTTACAACCTTGACTTGAGTGTATAGTAAACCAACCTTGCCATGCCTAAACCGTTCTCCCAGGTGAAGTTTGAGAGTGTATCCCCCACTAGGCTGAGCAGTAGAGGGAATCCTTTACGGATAATAGCTCTTCCTGCCTCCTGAAGTACAGGGTGTCTCAAAAAACATGGGAATTCAGTGACGAATTCGATATCGTCTCTGTTATGCACTAGCATAGTAATACCTAATTTCAAAAGCCATAATTTTATTATGTCTGCTAGAGTTTATTTTATGAAAAATATGTCTATAATGTCTCCGCAAGATGTATAGTGAAGACGGACTTAAGTTTACTCTGTTTGTATACTGCAATTTTCTTGTTTTACTAAGTAAGGATGTATGCAGTCAAAACATAAACAAACAAAATGTGAACATAGCAGATGAAACTCTTGCAGAGGTATCACTAAACTAAATCAAAGAATTATTTAAAAAGACGATATCGAATTCGTCACTGAATTCCCATGTTTATTGGGACACCCTGTCCAGTCAAGCAGTTAAAAACTCTGCTGTCAAATTAAAAAAAAACGTTAAATAAAGTTTAAAGTTTATCACAGGGACTGTAAATTTAATTTCAAGTGACCCTCCATGCACAGATGGCACACTGTCTACTAAACGCTACTATACTGTCGGTCATTGTACGGCAGATTACTGCAGTACACACCTAAAATTTACTTGGCGGGTGAGCAATTTACAACTGTACCATTGAAACCTTATTCTGATCAATAATGTTGCAGATATTGTCGTTTTTCTAGGTTTAAAAGTGTTTTAATTTGGATAATTTCTGTAAAGTTTCTTGCAGTGGAAATTATGAAGAGTGAAGAGAAAAACCACAATTGAAAATAATCAGTTTTCCAAGTTTAAACATTTAAATCATACTTGATCAGACATAGCTTTTGAGGGTATTGTCATCTTTGCATGGAGAGTCACTTTAAAAATGTATCATTAATTAAAGATTTTTGTATTAAAATGGATTTAAAATGTACCTTAGAATAATATCTTTTTGAGCAATCCACAAGATTAATATCATCCTGTCCAAGGCTAAAATATATAATCATAAAACACCTTTTCAGAATTGGAAAAAAAGAAATTTTGCCAAAAACTCAAATTTTCTAATCCCTATATCTTTGCAACCTGATAGATTTTTCCAACTTAGATGGTTTTATCTCACAGAATGCAAAGTTTGAAATATCTAAGGTCTGCAACACTGGGTTTCAAAGATTTAGAGATTAGAAAATCAGAATTTGTGGCAAAGAACATATTCCTTTATGAATGTTGTTCAATTTGATTCGTATCAACTGCTAATTCAGACTAAATAGTCTTTCATGGAAAGTTGTTTAAATTAAAAAATCAGAACCGCGGATATGATTTTTGCTTTAGCCAATGCGCTTACTGAAAATCATTACAAAAGAAGTAATTAAATCTAAATCATTCATAAATAATCATCTTAGGAAAACTTTGATTGCCACCGATTTTATCAGTTGACATAACGCTTTCAGTTGAACGAGATATTTATATTGCAAATATTTATTGAAAGTTTTCTAATATTGAAATATCGATCAATAAGTGGCCACCAAACCTTTTTTTTTGCCAAAGAGATATCTTAGAAATAAGATTCAGCTGTTTTTTACGGATTAAATACTTAATCGCTTTAAATTATATGTTGCTGTTGTGATTATTCAGTAGAATTATAAATACGGATTAAGTAAGAATTATCTGTCCTAAAGCAAAAGCGTAAACAGTCTTTATAACTTGATATTTGACTTATATAGTCAAAAAAAAATAGTTGCCCATAAGAGATGAGACTTCAGAGACGATTGTTCAGAATTTTTATTATCTGTTTCCTTATATTATAATAATTCCCATTTCCCTGTAACTGTAAACTTGTCTTTTTCTTTTCCAAATCATTTGTAAGCCAATACAAGACAATAGTTCAAGACAGAAAACTTATTTTAACATTGGAATCATCAGAGTTTAAGAGTTTCAAGACGTATTTAAAACAGCAAACACAAAAAAATAAATATTTAACGGAGGAAAACAGGACCCTGTTGAGGATGAAATCCCCGAAAGAGAATTTTAAAATCTGCAAGTCAGTAGCGTTGGATTCTGAACCCCCCAGAGAAGACCTACTTATCTACCTATGTATTTATGTTTTTACCGTATTGTGATGCATTTTTTAAGATTAAAAATTTGCCTGTTTTTTGCCAGGTTTGAATGTGGGAGTTGTCTGGAATGATATCTTGTTGCAAATTTGCAAATCTGAAAGCGTTTATTATCTTAAACTCTGTTTGTCTGTTTGTTTATTTGTCCGATCATAACTCAGCAACCCCTGGACTGACTTGCCTCAAATTTAGATGAAGGAACTCGAAAGAGCCACGGGAATGATCTTAGCTTTGTTTTGAGATTCTAAGTTGACTGGGTCGACTTTTATAGGGAAAAATAGTAAAAATCGTAATTTATGTTAAAGCGCGGGTAATCAGTGGGATTACCTATGACCCCCCGGCCGTGTGAAACGCTGGGTTCCCAAGCTAGTCTGCTATTACCACACTAATATGTTACAGATAAAAACTAGTAAATATCTGTATAAAAATGTTAAACATTTTAATATTCCCGTGGTTTCAACAAGTTTGCCAAGCATTTAAGGCAAATCAGTCAAATGGTTATAACTGGGTTATAATGTCAATATATACGGCAAGAAAGAAACCTGTAGTCTATGAATCATGATGAATGATCGTACAACTTTTTACGTATTAAAAAAAAATCCAATTTATTGATTGTAGATATAAAGTTTTGCCAAAAAAACGTACTGCAACTGAACGTAAAAGTTTGTTATACTTAATTTATTTGTGACTGTACCTCAATTACTTCTTTTTTGAGGACCTCGGTATCTATGTTGGACTTGGATAGCAGTCGGTTCCTGCAGATAATTAAAATACAGTGCTCCACAAAATACAGTGGAATGCTGTGATAAGATAATCCAAGAAAATTCCACTGTATTTTGCTAATTATTATCTATTTAACTAACATTTTACATATTAATTGGATAATTTTAAATACAAAATTGTACTATAAAGAGTTGTATTTGACCCTGGATAAAATTACCACGGCATATAGGATTAATCTTATGATAAAAATCCTACTAAGCTGAACTTTGAAATGGGAAAAATGGTCCTATTTTTTCCGAATGAGCTGAACACGTTCTTTCTGCTTCCATCGGCTAAATGTTTAAAGGTTTTATTCAATTTAAATAATATATGGAGAATTCAAAAGTTAAAAGTAAATTGAATTTCTCAACAAATTTTTGTTTTACCTGCAGGGAAAGTTCTCTTTCAAAATTCTTTGCTTGATCAAATTCTCGGGACTTACGTCAAACTGGTTAATAATAATATTATTAAATATGTCATTTATGTACTCATATCTTTATTTTTTTATAATAAGTTATTTTTCATCGTTTGAGAACAAATAAAGTTGAAGAAAGTTAGTTAAGGTCTATGGCCATAGGCGGCTAACGGGGAAGGGGGGGGGGGTGTAGAAAGGGGCGACGTCTTCCCCCCCCCCTACCCACGGAAAAATTTTATTACCACAAGTTACAGTGTTTTTAAAACAAATGCATAAAAAATATTTATTATATAAGAACAATATTCTGTAACCAGTTACGATATTAGGACCAATTTTATTTCTAATTCTTATCAATGACCTTCCTAAAGCATCGAAATTTTTTACAATTCTTTTTGCCGATGATACAACACTGCAACTTTTTTCAAAAAGCTTACACGACTTATATGATTTAGCAAATTTTGAGCTCTCTAAAATAGAAGATTGATTTAAAGCAAACAAACTGACATTGAATGCGTCTAAAACCAAATATATTCTCTTCAAAAATAAAAAAGAAGATGTAAGTATCACCTCGCTTTAACTTCAAATAGATAATAAAGATATAGAAAGAGTAGGAACTGGATGCAAAAATGAATCTTTTAAGTTTGTAGGTGTTCATTTAGACGAAAATCTTAACTGAAACCTTCATCTTAGGTCGGTTAAAAACAAAGCATCCAGTGCAGTTTTTGCTTTGTCAAGCGTAAAAAATATTCTTCCTAGTAATATTAAACTAACCATTTACAACTCTTTATTTCGATCATTTATAGAATATGGAATTTCAGCCTGGGGAAGAAACAAATGTTCAGAAATGAAACAAATTCACATTTTACAGAAACGAGCAATAAGATTAATTGATAACTCAAAAGCCACGTCTCATATAAGATTCTAAAGATTAATGATCTGGTAGACTTTAACCAAGCTATATTTATGTGTAAATATACACATAAACTTCTTCCTGCATCTTTTGAAATTATTTTTAAAAAGCTTGGAAACTTTGAAAGATCTCTTAACTATCAACTTGACATTCTCAAAATGTGCTCATTACAGTGTTTACCATCAAGCTCTCTTCTTAAGATGTGGATTAACCTGCCTCTTGACTTAAAAAGAAGCAACGCTCTAAGTATATTTAAAAATAGACTACTAAATTCTCTTTTTATAAATTACATGACAATGTGTTATAAACCGAATTGCTATTCATGTAAAACTAATTAGATATGTTTTAACCCTATTCCTGCTGGGGGGGGGGTAATTTGACCCCCCCCTGTAGTTTTTTTATTTAACTCAAAAAGTATTGGTCTGAGGCTGTTGAAATTTTCTGACTTTCCTTGCATACCCATAGCCCTCCCTTTAGGCCTAAAACCGAGCTTTAATACTAACTGCCTGAGTCCTCAGGCACACTGCCTGAATGACTGCTTTTTCCTTTAACAAACTAAATCTTTGTTTTGACCCACTTCCACTTGTCAGATTTTGATAGAATTTAGCTTTTTGGAAAGCCTTTGACATAAGGAAACGAATTGCACAAGTTTTGCGAATAAAAATTGCAAATTTTTTGCAAACAACCTGTCAAAGGAAATTTGCACTTTTTAGTTTTTCTTGATTAAAAATCAGGTTATTTAAAATTTTGCAAAAATTTTTGCATATTTGAAATAACATGGTCAAGGGCTTTTCAAAAATGTATAATTTTTCATTTTTTGGAAAAAAAATTTTTTGCAAACATTTTTACTATATAACTGGATTTTGCGATAAAAAATTCAATTTTTGCAAATTTGCAAATTTTTTTGCAGATTCTAAAAGTAGAGCACAAGAGCTTTCTAATGATGTATCATTTGTCATATTTGGACATCAAACATGTGATTTAGAGGGGGGGGGTCAAATTGACCCCCCCCCCCCAGCATATCCTGGTTTTCAAGTACCCCAGCGGGGATAGGGTTAATATGCTTTGATATTTGTTGTGTACATGTCAGAAAATTACTTTAAACTCTAATTATTCGAATTAATGTATAAACTTTTTTACATCAGATAAATTCGCACCCTGATCTCTAATCGTTCTCCTTAAATCTATTTCATTGAAATCTTTTGTTATTATTATTAAAATTAGGTGGAAAAAATAATCAAAACAGTCAGGAGCTATTTTCCACCTAATTGCTTTATACTTGTACTGTTAATATAATCATCAATTTGTAATTGTAAACTCGTTCTGTACACAGATACATGTATTTTAGCAATAAACTTTATCTTATCTTATCTTATCTTTTCTTCATATTCGTTCAGATATCATCTATCTTTATATAAATTTGACTTGTCTATTCTTTTGTTTTACACATAGATAAATAACAATACAGATAGAAACCTAGATGTCGTCTTTTCAAGCTTTAGGGGTTTTTCACAATAACTTTGAGCCAGATGCCCAAAGGAGTGCCGCGCATGCTCTCTCTCTGTCTTTTACTCAACGCTGCCTACGCGGAACTAATTAAGGCCTCTGTCGTAGGGTTATTGTGATCGAAAAACCATTAAACCTTGAGAAGACGACATCTAATGTAATATCTGTATTGTTATTAATCGATGGTATTGACATACATTTTTCCCAACATTATTTTAAACCTTTATGTTTTTCTTTTAAAAAGCATTTACATGCATGCACATTGCTCATGTATGCCATTATTATTTATTACTATTGTTTTAGTTTTAATGGATAGATACAATTTAATATTAATACAAATCTTAAAATTCAATAAACTCGTTTACATTGGTTAACAACATTTTTTTGTAAACCTGGTATGATTGCTTTCCATATTTTATTGCAGTTTATTTCAATATAAACAGGTTTAGAAAATATTACATATTATAATTGCTAGACGAGGTTTTGTTATTACGTTGGAACACTTAAAGTGGATCCAATCTTAAAAATGTATGTAACTTTCTATAGAAATTAGAGCTATGTGCAATGTAACTAATATATATCATCATAATATCATAGTAAAGCCATTATGAATTTTCACATTTGTTTAAACCAGAAAAATAATATTTTTATTTGTCATACAACAACCCACCTGAAAGTAATGAGTGTCATCTCTGTAATAAGTTAAATTATCCACCTAAACAAGATATTCATGTAGCTGTAGCATACAGTGAGAATCAGAAAACAATTGAATAGGAGGACGACATTAGAGAAATAAGATATTAAATTTGATGTTGTCACAAAGCAAATAGTTTTACTAGACACTTAAAAAATCACTAAATTAGTTCATTCTTAAAGTCGTCTTCCCTTTTCAGGATTTTCTGGTTTCACTGTAAACTATAAAATAGAAAACAATCGGTAATATAATTATATTTTATCGAATTGCCAAAAGCATTTCAAAAGCACGGACATTTTGTTCAACATTATGAAGAGATTATTAAGGAAATCTCATAAATTTTTATATTTCTAATTACCGAAGGCAACATTTTGAGAATAGTTTCGAGACCTTAATCAAGGCTTTACAAGAATTTGAGATGTATTTTCTTATTTCAAAATTGCAAATTCAAAGTTTATAAAGGAAATGAATTTTTGCCACAAACTCTAATTCATACATCCTTATATCGTTGCAACTCATTGTCGTAGACCTTTGATATTTCAAATTATGAATTCTTTGAGATTAAAAAGTCCAAGTTTGTCCAAGTTTGTCCCACGAGACATGACAGTTGGTGAATAGTTTTGAATGTCTTCTTCCATATACTGTATTAGATATTAAAGACTTTTTTCAGTTTATTTAGTTTAAAAAAGCTTTACTCAAATATATTTTACTTAGAAACCAATTTTACTATAGTATGGATGCCATAAAATATGTATTATTATTCTCTTTATTAGCAAACAACTTGACATATTATGCATGCATGAAGACACTATTCACCAACTGTCATGTTTCGTAGGACATCCTGTATTAAAGGTTTACACCATCAGGTTTTAACAATACAAGAACTAGAAAATTTGAGTTTGTTGAAAAAAACTCAAATTCTTTGCTTTGCACTTTAACAAACTATTTTCTCTGCCTAAGATATTAATGAAAAGGATTGGTTAATAAGGTAGATAAAAGAAACAATTTTGCAAAATGTAACAAGATGTAAATACTTATCGAAAAACGCAATTTTTCAATGTGACAAGTAACTCAATTTTGTGTGGAGCAATCTTTAAGTAAAAAAATCTTTAATGTTACAAAACAGACCTAAAAAGATGTTTTCAACCAAAATATTTTTATCTTTGAAAATTTCCGTTTAGTTCGGTTAAATGAACAAAAAATGAAGAAAACTGATGAAAGAGAAATTAAAGACGATCTGCGATCTGATGTTAAAACTCGGCTTGATGAATTTTGTGACAAATTTGTAAAATTTAAATAATGTAAATCTTTTATTTGGAAAACAGTTGTTAAGCGTAATTTTTTTTAATTCTAAAAAGGGATTATACAAGTTTAATGTTTTTTAACAAGCTGCTTACACAATTTATGTTAAAAGAGCAATACCTTTAAGTTCACATCTCTGTCTAACTCTTTATAAAACTGTGAATTAACGCTTCTGAAATAATATTCACATTGATAAAAATTCACTCATTTCAGTGGTTTAGTTAGTTTTCTTTTGTTCTAACACTACAATTTTTAAAATTCTAAAATTTAATTCAAAATTGAAAAAATATAAAAAAATGAAACATTTCCAATCATATATAAACCGAGATTCTTATACAGAGTTTTCATCACAAATACCCGGCCCGTCTTGAATGTTGGGTCTGCCAATACCACAAAAAATGTATACAAAGTACGAGTAGGACCAGACCAGTACTGTTTAAATACTGATACCGGTTTCAATGGTACAACAATATGAAAAAAAGAAATAAGATTTATTGTAAAATACCTTTTAAGAGTGTTTAACTCTGAAATAAGAACTTCCTCTGGACTGGTACCATGCTGAAAACTAGCTGTTAAGGTCAACTCATCAGTTCCTTCTTCACGACCCCTGAACACCAACATTTGCTCAAATCCAATCCATTTAAATCAGAGATGGAAGCCTGGGGACTCTTGTACTAAATCCTAATTAGACTGGATATTCTTGCACCAGAACCGAATTTAATGATTGGAGAGATCGCTGTATTACCTAGTACGTATGCCGATTCAAATCATGAATCCAAGGGAATCTTAAACTCTGAATTTGAATTGGGATTCAAAATTGGATCCGGATTTAGGTAATTCAACGACCCAGCTCAGTCTAACTAAAATCTGTTTAGAAGGATTTACCTGTTGAATCCATCTAAACAGAAGCCTAGACCAGAAGCTCCCACAAGGACATCAAAAGAGAAATGTCTAGCCTCATGATCCTCAGGAACAAGTCTAAAAATAAATTAAATCTTTTAACAAACTCTAATTTTCTATTACTTATACCTTTGCAACACAATGAAATCAAGAAATACTTTTTTTATAAAGACGGAGGTGGAGATCTTCTGTGTTTGATACTCATAAACCGGATCACTTGTTCTTGATATCCAATCTTTTCATTTCTGATCAAAGCTCCCTTCAAATGCTGGCTGGGTACGAGTACAATGCGGGATTAAGAATAAAGATTAAATTAATCTGAAGATTAAGAAAAAAATCGAAATCAAACAAATTGCTCTCGATATACACGATACAATTGAGTTCCCAGCTTATTACAAACATCCTCTTCAGTAGGGTCTAAAAAGATTGTAATAAAAAACTGGTTTACCTTGCATGCCAACCCTGCTCATCTTCCGGTTCAAGTAAACTCTGAAACTTGACACCAGTGTACACTTGTACACCAAGCAGGCAACATATCTGAAACCAGTTTAAAAATGCTAATTTGATTAAACTTATTGAAAGAGTATATAAATGCACAGTTTTAGTTCATCATAAAAATACTAAAAATTAGGAACACCAAAATAAGAAAATTGGCTGTTTTTGGGCTTATTCCTGCACCAGCCAATTTTTCTATTAATTTGGTTTTATAGATTTTATCAAAAAAAATTTTTCCCAGGGTTTCATAGTGAAGTAAAACAATTGTAAAAGAAGCCAGGTTTCCAGGAAATAAATTTAAAAACAATTTTTTGGATATTATGAAGTTTTTTTAAATAGACCAAGGAAGTCATAAAAGTATGTTTTTTATAAACATGAAATAAACAAGAAAAAAATGTTCTCCAAACCTTTAGAAGTGCTGTTTGAAGCAGTTTGGTGGACAAATGGTCTGTGGTTCCACATCCTAACCGACTGTCAAAAAATTGAAGTGAGCTAACCAAAGACCCAATAAGTGGGATTGTCTAAAGAAGGGTAAACAGAAATTTTAAGGACAAAATACTGTTCAATGATGAAATGCTTGCACATAAATACAGCATTCCAACCCACAAGTTTTTAAAACTAAGGAAATTTTACAATTTTATATAAAATATTCAACATTTTCCTGAATAGATGTTTTACTCCCAACATCTTTAAATCTTCTACCACAAACTTCCAAAGTTCCAAAACTGTATTCCGACTGAAAGAAAACTCAGTTTATTTGGTTCTTAAAAGGAGTGACTGGCTATGTAAGGTAGTTGAACTGAGTAAGCAGTGTTGTGGAAAACTTCTTTTGGATTCATTTGAGACATGTAAAACTTTTTAAAATTTAAAAAAAATAATTCTGAAAACGAGTAGGAGTTTTGAACGTCGAATTTGCGCTCAAACTCCGGATTTACAGATCTTTAAAAAGTTTATTATGTCTCAAATGAATCCAAAAGAGGTTTTCCACAATACTGCATACTCAGTTGAACTACCTTACATAGCCGGTCACTCCCTTTAAATGCAACAAATTTCCAAAGATTTTGATAAAATTACCTAAATGAAGTTGTTTCCTCTACTACCACAGTTCTAGCTCCCAATAGATGGCATTCAATGGCAGTCCTTCAATAGAAATAGTTGATTAAAAGCTTAAACACAATGTTGGAAAGAAATCCTTTCGTTGTGATCAGAGCTGAAAACTTTGGAATGAAATATCTTTAATCCCAGTTCCTTAATCTGAGTATCCAATGGACACACATTTGATTTTCTTCTTAAACCGTTCTTTCTTGGATATAGTAGAGAAAAATAAAAAACAATTTTTTAAATTTAAAGAGTCCCTCCCGTTTCTGTTTATAATCTTAAATGGCGCGAAAAATTTTAAATTTATCAGCTTCATATACGCAACCCTAATTGGTTGAATTTTATACACTTTTCAGGATACAAGTACAAGATTAGGTTCGTCTCGATATTAAGAAAAAAGAGAGGATCTGGCATTAATTTTTCAGCTCAGACTAACTAAATTAGATTTACTAAAATGTATGCACCATTTACTTAGTTACTTGGTATGGATAACATTTTTTCAGTACGCCTGCCTTCTCTTTTGGTTGTCAGTTTAAATTTAAATGATCAGGAGAGGGAGTGGAGGAAGGCCAGCCACAACAATTTCTCGTTCGATCCACAATCTTCTCATTTTCTTATCCGAGTCACCTTGAAATCCTCGTCCTTAGATTAAAATGTGTTATAAAGTTTCTTAATTCTAATTCTCGAAGATAAAACTATGTTTAATAAATCTGGCCACGTTAGGGAATAGAATATGGGTAGACTAAAGTATTGCAATGATTACATCATGTTGGAATCTTTAAAGCCATGAGAATGATGTCAAACTTTATTTGGGTAAAAATTAAATCTGTTCTGTATCCACAATGACTAACCTTCGCGATAAAAACTAAATAGCAAAACATTTGGAATACCTTAGCCTATCATTTTCTCCATGGAACCAGCCGGAAAAAAATTTTGATTTTCACAATATAATTAACAAAAGAGATTAAAGTTCTATAAACTCGAAATTGTTTGTGGCATTCTACACCAAGGAAAAAAATGCACGCGAAAAATGTAAACATTTTAAAGAATATTAAACTCAAATACTTACATTTTATTGAAACTACTTTTTTTGATTTACAAAAATTAAATTTTTCATTTTTACCCAAAAGTGGCCCGATTCTTAAAATTAGTTTTATCTTGGGGGATTAGTCGACACTTAAAAAAATAATATTGAAAGGACGAGTATTTCGAGGTTACTCAGCCGAGAAAATGAGGAGAATGTGGCTCAGACTAGAAATTGATGTGGCTGGCCTTCCTACCCTCGTCAATCAAGGGGCATATTAAAATTTCACAAAAAGCTATTTAGGTCAAAATCAACTTTAATGATGATGAATTATCTATCATTTTGTTTCATGAACTAACCAGTAACCAGAGCACGATGTGCTTGATTTCTTCTATGAGAATTTAACTTTGTGTGCTCTATAATTCATAATCTTTAAACTTAAGCAGTTGTCTTTTTATACTTTTTCATTTAAAACTTGTATCTACAGTGAACATTAACAATATGATGGATCATCCACATGGTCCTGCTCCAATTACAAGAACTCATTAACAGTATAATGGATCAGTTACCTGAGTCCACATGGTCCTCCTCCAATTACAAGAACTCATTAACAGTATATTGGATCAGTTACCTGAGTCCACATGGTCCTGCTCCAATTACAAGAACTCTCATCTCCTGGGAAACCTTGTTTCCTCCATAAATACTTCTCTAGGCATATAAAATCAAGAAAACAAATTGTTAAAAATTACTGCAATTGTTTTGCTTGATTGTCGTTGTCTCCATTTTAATCAATAAATCAAGGATATAGTACCTTGCAATACTCAAAACTAAATTAGACAAAAACTGAAATAGTACAACTGAGGGCAGATTAACAGTCATAAATCAGGGGTGTTAATGATAAATAAGCAGAAGACAACAATAATTCCATTAAAATGAGAAGTTTTCATAGACAAATAAAATATTTTTCTATCTTCATATCATAACGCTATACATCATCTTACTTTAAGGAAAAAAGAAGCACTGCGTCTTTTTACTTCATTTTGGAACCAACTCACCCCTTTGAAACTGAAGAAGTGTTTTTCATTTTTAAGCAACTGTTACTATCTGTTTGTAAGATGGACCTATGCCGCGAGAGAGGGAAGGCAACCTCCCCGCATAGCTACCATACCTCATTTTACCTATTTGCGGCAGTGCGCGTCCCCAGAGGGCTTCCGAACCTCCCCTAAACAGTCTTCCGGGAAGGATCATCCATTATAATCGTCGATTTCTACTTAAAACGGGACTAATTTAATTATTTATTCACGGTAGTCGATCTATAGTATCCTGAACATTTGCATAATATATATTTTTTTTAAATCAAAGTTTTGGGATAAAATAGCTTTTATTTTATCAACAAATCTTAGAATGGCTGGCGGAGGGGGGGGGGTCGGAAGCTCTCAGGGGATGCGCACTGCCGCAAATAGGTAAAATGAGGTTCGGAAGCTGTGCGGGGGAGGTTACCTTGCCTCCCTCATGCAGCAGGATCTTTTGGTTGTTTTACATATGTTCAAAATAAAATTGTATACTTGCACGATATTATTATGCCGCTGGGCTTTAGTTCCAGGTTCCTTCAAGAATACTTGATCATTGTCTTACCTTTGCTCTTTTCTCCAGAACCTTCCATAGTTCCGTATACCGGTAACTGAAGACAAACCAGGTGTTAAAGGAAGATTTGGCAGGTTAAATTTAAAAATAAAATTTCTAAAAATTAAAATTTTTGGTTTGATTTTCTTAGTACCAGGTAGAGCGAGCATAGGGTATATTTACCTGAGTTTATCGACTAGTCTGGCCTTGAGAACAGGAAAGAAGTCTGGGTATCGTCCAGGATGTAAATCTAATCCTGACAATCACAAATTTAGTTACTAAGACCAGTCTAACTTTTTAATATACAGGGTTACACACAAAGAAAATATTCAAGGATGAAGACTAAATTTAACCTTGTAATTGTCACGTATTTTTAGTTTCATGTCGTCTTTACAGTCTCAACCTTTGTGGATAACCCTTCCATAGACAATACAACACCTAGTAAGCAATTTATGTTAACATTATAGCTTTGTTAAGCCTTTTGGTTCATTTCTTTATTTCTTAAAAAACTTCCCAAAGTTTCTTTTAATAAACTTTTATTCTACAAAAATGGAGAACGAACCAAAACACATTTATTTATGTTGATTTATTTTTGAAGATATTTTCTCTCCGGGTCCAAATTTAACATAGTTTAAGAAAATCAAATCTTCGAAATAAACAATTTGAAATATTAGCGTAGTGTATAAATTTTGATCCTGAGAAAATTATATGCAACAAACGAACCAAAACAATTAAGAACACAAGAAACACAAACATCATATATTCGACCTTGTCCCATTTGCCTGGCCTATAGATGATTGAAAAAATTACATTTAGATTTGATCTAGTGTAGGGCTAACAAAACAAAAAAATAACTAGTTTGTTATATCTAAATAATCATGGATGAAAAGAATTAAGTTCCAAACCACAATTCGAACTTTATTAAAAGGTTTCAACACAAAAAAAATCCTTGGACGCCAGTTAATTAAAAAAATATACCTTCACAGACTGCATCAAAAGCGCTGAGGACATCCCCTACTTCTCCACTGTCATAAAATCGTTGAAATGCCTTAAAAAAAACTATTTTAAAAGCCTTTTTCTACAGCGGTAGAAATCTTAATTTTTATTTTTTCGGCAAAAAATCTGCCTTAATCCGCTGCCACATTTTTGTGTTTATTTTTTAAAGAATATGAGATTTGATTTCTGGAGTTTTGTATTTTGTATAAGATCCAAATATATTGTTTTAAAAGAAAGAAAATAATGAAAATGCAGATACACCCCATACTTGGAGAACTACGAACATTCCAAGTGACCTTTCTCTGCATTGAAGAAGTGTCAGGAAAATTGAACTTGTTTATTGTGTCTTAGGGAGAACATTTGAAAATCAAGACCAGAATGTTAAAAAAGTATCACATATTCGGTCAGAGTTGGTTGATTATCTTTTTTTGTATCTTAGGTTTAATAATTTTGGAATTTTGTTAAAAAAAAAGTTGATGAGAATAATTGAAGATCTCTTACTGTAAGAGCGTCTTCTGACCCGACTAGCTGCATGGTCTGACCAGCTACAGAGGAAGCGGTCACTCCAAACCTTGGACGCCGACTCATTTTTCGGAGAACTATTGGAAAAAGGAACATTGGTTGTCTTTTAAAGTGACTCTCCAGTGCATAAAAGTATGACTATAGTCACAATTGTTTATTTTTAACTATTTAACCCGCTGGATTATACATCTGCCATTCTTACCTGTTTTTAGAAACCACAATTGAAAAAACCAATTTTAAAATCTTGACCCTACAACGCTTTAAAGGGTCCAGGTTTAAATCTAGCATACCACTCAATGAATAAAGTGGAAATCAAGTAGAAATGGACAAAATATCAAGGTACCCTATATTTAAAAATTAGGACATGCATAAAACAATTACTTTCAATACGGATTTCTCTACAAAAAATTGTTTGCGGATTTCTTGCTGCAGCAACAATGAAGAAAAACACTTTAGATTTTAAAAGGAAAAAAATGAAAATATCATTTCATGAGATTTAGATTTGAAAAGGAGAACATTAGCATCAATCTTTGAATAGAGCATCACTTTAAACTACATCAACTACATCAACTACATCAACTACATAAACTACATCAACTACATCAACTACATCAACTACATAAACTACATCAACTACATCAACTACATCAACTACATAAACTACATCAACTACATCCCTTCAATCGAACACTTTGTCAGTATATATATACAGTGATAACCAAAAAATAACGGAATAGGAAGACGACATTATAGCAATACTTAAGTGTATTTGATGGGGTTGCAAAAGCAAATATTTTTATTAGACACTTACAAAATCACTTATTCTGTGAAATGGGTCATTTTACACTGCCCAATTGCTGTTTTTCATGGTTATTGAACTTTTCAAAGGTAAAAATTGATTCTTGGTTCAGTGGACTATGATTTTACATAGTCCAATGAACATAATGTACAGACATGTTTCTCACAATATGTTGATTTTGAGCAACAGTTAAAACAATTTACCTCAAAAATGTAAAGATTATACAAATGTCGTCTCTTATTCCAAAGTTTTATTTGGATCACTGTATTTCAAAACTCAAACACTGTTTACATATGCATCTAGCAGACTAAAATCTAGAGAGGAATTACTAAATTATCTAGCCTAGAGGGGGGGGGGGCGGGTTTTTAAAAAATAATGAAATGGATATATTTTATGGTTATATCCTAAACTAAAGCCCGATCGTGTTTAAACTTTTTTGATAAAATGTTTAAATCTTTTCGCTTGGTTCGTTATAGTGTAATTTATCCAGGTTGATGTTAAACTAAAAATACAAACTAAATATAAATAGATAGATAGATAGATATTTCGGCCGGCTTTCCCCCATGCAGACTTTCCCCGTTATGGCCTAAAATCTAAACTTTGCCAATCTGCAAAACTAAACTGCAATTCTCAACTGCACTTTACAGTTTGAGGAAGCCAAATTATTTTATCCAACTCTAATACAATTCTTGAAAATTAAAAGTGTAGACAAGAAAAGAAAGTTTTGGAAGAATAAGAGAAAAATTGAAAGAAATAATAAGAGAATATTTCTACATTAGAGAAAATATCATTTCACGATTTATTCTAAATGAATGGAGTCTTTGCCACAAACTGAAATTTTCTAATCCAAATATCTTTGCAACCTGATAGTGTAAACCCTTTATACTTAGACTTTTCACTGCAAACCAAGAGCATATACGCACGCACGAATGTAGAAAGATTAAAGAACTAGTTTAGTAGAGAAACTTATTCCGTTGAGGGTTACATGTACAGCGCTAGTGAAAAGGTTTGTATCCACATGCTCATTGTTTTAACGTTAAATATAATAAAACAATAGTTTATAACATATCTAATTTATAATTCAATTAAACAATTATTTTATTTGGTAGTACGGGGGGGGGGAGGTAATGAAATTCAAACAGCTTTTTTATTCTGAACCATTCATATTAAGCTAAACAAAAGAAACAATTTAATGCTCCGCCAAAAATGAGTTATTTCAGGCTTTACAATAAGTTTTCCAAAATTTCTATAATGCTAAAACAACATAAGTCATCTACTTTTTAAAAGATTTCTATTTTGTAAAATAAACAAATTTTTCCTTACAAATTTTTGCAAAATTTTCGTTCGGCCGACGAAAATGGGAACGAAAATTTTCGTTAACTTTTGCGAACATTTTCGTTAAAAATGTTTCGCAAATTTTGTTCAATTTTTGAACTTTCGTTGAAATTCCTATGTTTGCAGAATAATTTTATTACTTTCAATACGGATTTCTCTACAAAAAATTGNGGGGAAATAATTAAAACTCAAAATCTTGCTAACACATGCACTTCCCACCCCCTGAAATTTTTATATAGAATTTGGTTAATTCCATATGAAAACCATGACCCGTTTGGGAGGTACGTGAAAGGGTAGGCGATTATATCAATATGATAAAGACGACTTTCGTTTAGAATTTTGATTTATATCAAGCCTTTAAACATGGAAACAAAGATAAGCTGTCAATTAAAAAAAGTTCTCTTTAATTGCTTGTAAACTTGTAATTCGAAAAAATCGTGTTAAGAAATTTATTTAGAAATAATCGCCTACACCGTATGTTAGCAAAAGTTTTTTATTCTACTCTTAAAATTTAAAATTAAAGGACTAAAAGGTGCCTGCTCGACTCTTCTTGCTCCAAGAGGGGGGGCGTCCCCTAGATTTCCAGGGAGGGGGACACCCACTCCCCCCCCCCCTCCATGACCCGCATCTGTATTAAATTGCTCAGAAGAATATTTTATCCATATTTTATTACGCTTAAAGGGAGTGACTGGCTATGTAAGGTAGTTGAAGGCGGGCACTGTTGAACTGAGTAAGCACTGTTGTGGAAAACTTCTTTCGAATTCATTTGAGACATATTAAACTTTTTAAAGATCTGTAAATCCTGAGTTTGAGTGCAAATTCGACGTTCAAAACTCCTACTTTGGGGGTGGATACGTTTTTAGAATTAGTTTTTTTAAATTACAGGGTGTCCCAATAAACATGGGAATTCAGTGACGAATTCGATATCGTCTTTTTAAATAATTCTTTGATTTAGTATAGTGATACCTACCGAGAAAGCTGTAATCTGTAAGAGTTTCGTCTGCTATGTTCACATTTTGTTTGTTTATGTGTTGACTGCATACGGTTGTACTTAGTATAACAAGAAAATTACAGTATACAAACAGAGTAAACTTGTCCGTCTTCACTGTTCATCTTGCGGAGACATTATAGACACATCTTTAAAGTCTTTTACCCTTTTCATAAAATAAACTCTAGCAGACATAATAATATTATGGCTTTTGAAATTAGGTATTACAATGCTAATTCATAACAAAGACGATATCCAATTCGTCACTAAATTCCCATGTTTTTTGGGACACCCTGTATTAGATAACGACAACGAAAAATAAAGTAAAAAATATATAAAATCTAATTAGATGGTTAGGAACATATGTCTCAAAAGAAATTTGTCAAAAAATCAATGTTAAAATCGATTATTTCGTTTTCATTATTATATTGAATTTCTTATCTTCATTGAATTTATTCGCAGATTTCTTCAAATTCTTCAAATGTCGTCTTTTCAATAATAATTCTAGAAAATCTTCGAAATCTTTGTGAATAATGAGGAACCAGAATAATGAGAAAATATAAACTAATAATTGAACAAGAATGAACGCTGCAAATAATTTCAAATATCTAAGACGACCTTTAGGTTGTCTTTCTAGTGTCATGTTTGGATAGACACCCTGTAATCTTTTGTGGAAAATATAATTTTTTTAGAACTTTAGAGAGTGCCCATAATTATACAAAACTCAAGATTTATTGCATTTCAAAAAACTATATATTGTTAGGCACAAGCCTTTTAAAAAATTAAATTTTGATTTCAACAAGAAAAAGCATGCAAATGGCTGAGCTGTGCTTTATTCCAAAAATCATTATAGGGATATTAACGTTTTCATTCTTTTGAAAAACGATCGTTTCGTTTTGAAAATGACGACGAAAAATCGAAAACGAAACGATCGTTTTTAAAAACGATAGTTTTTTTAATAGTTCGTTTTAAAAAATGGTTGTTTTTTAAAAATGATCGTTTTTAAAAACGAGCGTGATTAAAAAGTTTTTAAAAACGAAAGTTTTTATAAAATTCGTCGTTTCGTTAACGATTATTAACGACGACCCTTCGTTAAGGATCGTTAACAACAACCCTTCGTTAACGATAAAATTTTTTTCAAAAAAGATCTTTTTTTAAAAACAATCCTATAGAAAACGGTCGCAAAACTTTTTATAAAAACGATCGTTTTCAAAAATGATCGTTATTTGTTTTCTAAAAGTACAAAACGAGTAGGTCGTTTTCAAAAACGATAGTTTTTTTCCGAAAACGAAACGATCGTTTTTGAAAACAATTGAAAAACGAAACAAAAAACAATCGTTTAACGATCGTTTTCAAAAACGACCGTTATTCGTTTTCTAACAGCACAAAACGAGTGGGACGTTTTCGAAACAATAGTTTTTTTTCCGAAAACGAAACAATCGTTTTTGAAAACAATTGAAAAACGGAACAAAAAACAATCGTTTAACGAGCCTTTTCAAAAACGATTAACAACCCTAAATTCGTATAACAGTAAACCCTTAATTTATCTAATATTTGTAGGATCTTAAATAAGATTAAAACACTCGTTATTTTTTCATATTTATTGCTGGAACTGCTGCAGAGTGCTGTCAAAAAAGAGTAAGTTTTCTTTCTTTACTAAATACTGATAATAACAGAGACATTCTTATATATGTTCACAATAGCCGGCCAAACGGCTGGACCAAACGGGTTGACATTTTTTGTGGACACTCATAGGTAGCCATGGGTGACATAGCTAAAAAAATGAATTAAAATAATAAAAATTATTTCCACTCTAGCTAGTAACAATTATAATAGTAGAGTTAATAATATTAAAATTATTAATAATGATGATATTAATAATAATAAATTAATAATAATGATAATATTAAGAATAATGAAATTAATATTATTATGTAAAACACTATTTATTCAAGTATGCAGTTACAGAGCAATCTGAAAATCCATTAAAAAAGAAAACGAAACAACTATATTTTGTTTA